TTTCATCCAGCAAAGTGCTGAGAATGATTAAACAGCTAGAATATTTGATAAGGGGTTAGGAATTTAAAAATTGATACACGTCTGATCGTCGAACTCGACGATCAATCCACTCGGTCGTTTAATTAAAAGAAGATTGATTGATCGCTTATAGAAATGTCATTACGTGTAACTTATCGTTTAAAGAAATCGTCTACGAGTCTTTCACTGGCAGGACTAAACGCTCGATCATTTTCATCCAACTGAGATCCAGAAAGGATAGATAAGAGGGTAGTCACGCGTCGAGATCGTGATCTTCAAAAGCACTAGCCACGCATGCTCCACATATCAATTCCTCGAGATGTCCCTTGAAACTTCAATATTTTCTAGGAACAGACCGATCTTTCTTCTACGAATCTACGGTTCTGCCAATAATTCTGGTGTATACGGTTAGAATGATTAAGAAGAGCCTTCCTGATCCAGAAGGGATAAAAGATCAACGCTCTAGGGTGAATTATGAGAGAACACACATCAAAGGATTCGCATGAATATCAAGATCCTTAGAAGCGTGCTCGACATACTGAAACTTTTCTAAGAATAATATGATGTTATTTTAAAGAAAGTCCGACTTTGATTTCGGTGAAAAATTTTGAATTTCCCGTTTTTTAACCAAATCATATAAATAACATTGTAGAGTCGCAAACTCGTAAGCTACAAATTTTTCCAAAATCAGTTTCAACCCGAAAACGAATGTCCAGGAACGAAGTGAAATTAGAAGAGTCTCATCAAAGATCAAGATCCCCGGATCTAGTAGCGGCGCGTGTTCACAATACAAAACGTTTGAAACTTCCCAAAAGTAGTTGTTCCGGGAACGGGGCAATTCACGTTCGAGGAAAACGGGCCAAAAGAGGCGGTCGCGTGGAGGCGGGCGGGAAGTGGCAGTAGCCAGCTCTTACATGCACGTCGTACGCATTTAAATTCGCCGCTTCCTCGGGACACTCTGTCGTGGAACGTCAAAAAACGCGCGTACATATGCATACCGTGGAGCCGGTGGCGCGTGCTGCGCTCACAGGTGACGTGGTGCGTGCGTGCTCGACAAGGTAAAAAGCCTGTCCTCTGCTCGCGTTGCCGAAAAAAGAAAAGAAAAAAAAAATTAAAAAACTGACCCGACGATAATAACAATCATAATAATAATAGCAACGAAACGAGTGACCCGGTCGAGCCGGTACAACGCCACTCGGCAGGTCCTGTCTTTCCAGTTCCGGTTCTTCCTCAATGCGTATACTCGTACTCTTCCGACGCCGATTTCCGGTTTGAGAAACCCCGATTCCGGTTTCGAACCGGGTCCTACCTGGTACCGCAAGCTGGATACGACGTACCTCTTCTCGACCCCCTTCGGGAACCTCCTGACCTCCTGCTTGGAGAATGCCACGCGGATGGGACCTTGCGTGATTTTCGGCAATGTTTTCTGGGATCGATGGGTGGGTCTGGGTTGTAATTTATTAGAAGTTTCACCTGTTAACTGGGCACGAAGAGTTACCTTTCAATTAAAGTTAATGGAGAGAATGTATCGTGCGAAAGCAAAATTTTATAGTTCATCAAAAATTAAGAAACTCCATACTGCAAGGCAGTGCAATAAAGTTTTAATTATAAACGGACTTTAGTTTTCTTTTTAGGTGTCCAGATAGACCTTCTAGATATTCTTGGAGTAATAAAGTTTAACTTGAAAATATTATAAAGAATCTTTTATTTAATTTAATAATAATTTGAAAATTGGTAATTTTCTTACAAGGAATCTTCCATTTTGAATGCTTGAAAGTTGAATAGCACAATGTACTGTTGCCAAGGTACGTCGATTTCCTGGAAGTTGGCGTACCTAATATCGCATCCACGGTTCCTCTTCCTCTTCGAATGACGAGCGTACGCTCGCAAGTGTACGATGACCCTCGAACGACCCGACGACCTCGAAGCTAGCGAGGTACGTCTGTCTTGTCGTCGATAATGCTGCACCGTAAGCTCGTAATTGCCTCTTTTGCTCATACGAGCGCAAACGGTACGCGTGTTGCGTGGCGACACAGCAAAAACCGCTCGGTCGTCTAACGTTACGTGGAATAATTTAACCGTCTGTAAGGGAAATGCTGGCAAATTCATGAATTCGTGGAAAATCGCCTCAAGAATTGAATTTTCTGTAAATATAAAATTTAAGTAAAAATTTTTAACTATGAAATTTTGTTGCGCAGAAAATTTGGAAATTTATTTTTTCTTTCTTATAATTCAACCCCCAAATGAAATTTCTATCCCCACTGCAATGTAATTCTTACAACTGTACATGGTCATTAATTGTAAGCTGGCGTTTAATTTCTGACACATTTCGCATAATCGCGTAATTATGCTGGTTACGAGGAAACGCATTATTGTTTTTGCCCGGTGAAAAGACGCGAGAACTCGTTGCTCGCCGCGCAAATTCCTAACAGGAATCGTCGCATTGTAACGCGACCATTAACAGCATTATAACGGATTCCCATCTCGGAACATCAACGCGATCCTTGATTCGAAACGTCCCAGCATTTTACGACGTTTTATAAATTATTTAAATGAGAAAGGAGGAAATTGAAATGTCTTGACGTTCGATCGAGGTTTACCTCGAACGTCCTCACGTAGATATACTAGTAAAAAGCTTTTCGAGCTGTTGAGATATTAGCATTTATACTTCTTTATATTTTGTAATGCAACGTTTGCCAAATGGAAATCATCATTAGATGTGTTGAAATATGTTTGAAACTGAAAATTTCTAACCGCTCTATTTCCTATCTTTATAGGATTTTCAATTTACACAATTCAAATTCTCTCATAGAAATTCTTAAGATGACTTGTTTATTTCATTTTAAGGAAAAGACGTAACCGTAAGATTTTTCGTTGACCTTAACTACTACGTTTCGCTCGATTTCATTGAAATCAAACGGAAAACGATCCTGTTTCCTAAATTGTAATATGAATAGCAGCAGTGACAGGAAGATTCAGCCAAGCTCGAAGGGATTAACACGTCAACGATCTCGATAGTGGAGCACAGGTCGTCGACAATCGAGCCTTCTGCCTCTCTGTACTCACAATGTCTCGGTAAAATATTCCGTGGAATCCGAATCGGCCGAAGGCTACGTTCTCGCGATTCTCCACGAATATTTTCCTTCGATCCTACATCACGGATTAGCATCGCATTATTCCGTGCCGGTATTAAATCGACGCGGAACGAATACGCCGCGTCTGCGCCGGTGAGGAGTCCTGGATCCATTTCACGTAAGCCGAATTCATGAGGTCGAAGCCGGTGCCTATGGCCTCCGGTTATGACAGTATGCAGCTTTCCATCTCGAAAAGGACCACGCGGTCCGGGTTAGCCGGGCTCGTTTTTCCAATCCGCACCTCTTCAAGCACAAGTGTGCCGAGGGCGACGACGTGTCACAATCCTCCCCTCTCGTATCACCCTTTTTTTTCCTACCAGAAGAAGAGGATCTCCAGCCTGGAAACGACGCCGGGCAGACAGAATTTTAGCATCGACGGAGGAAGAAAGATAGAAAAGGAAAGGGTTAGGAGACGAGAGAAGAGATCAGGTATCAAGTGTAAAAAAAAAAAAAAAGGCGCCATTGTACGGGAGCATCTGACCGTAGGGTAGGGTACCACAGTGGCGATGTTCAGCGACCAAGAAAGAGACGCGTACCCGCTCTCTTCTCGTGCCGGAAGAAAGATGGAAGAAAAGGAGAACCGAAGAAGAGACCGGTGAACCTGGCACACCGGCAAGGACGGTACATAACAGGGAAAGGGAAGAAAAGGGATGAGATGTAAAGGGCGGAGGGTGGGGGGAAGAAAAATATAGTGAAAAGAGAGAAAAGGATGGGGATAGCGAGAGGCTGTCGTATGCACCGAGAGCGTTGGCAGTTTATAAGGGTCCCCTGTATTGTGGATACGTATTATCATGCTAAATATAACATGTTAACTACTTCGCATAATGCCGCCCCGCGATCCTCTCGATTCACATCCACCGTGTACGACCGTTCGACGAATCGCGTTTCCGCGCCCGGAAAATTTTATTGCCATAGCGTTCGGCAGATGGAACGCGATCCTTCGGCTCGTTGAAAACGAGATAATGCGTCATGTAAGTTCCCAGACTCTCATTCACGAAGAAATCAGACTAACTGGGAGAAATTGATTTTTTTATTTCACGTTCGATTCATGAGAAACTGCGGCTAATTATTCGAAATCGAATAGATATCCAATGTGATTTCTATTCGGATGTCGATAGCGAGAAAACAACGATTAATAGCTGAATAATTGATTATCGATGTAAAGGAATGCACGTATCGGTGCTTATCGTTTATATTTAGTAATGATTAGAGACCATTGATATTTATCCGAGGTGTCTTTATCTGATTTTTCCCGAGAAATGCCGGTATTGCAAAACAGCCACGCCATAGCGTTATTGATGAGACACATTACGCATTTATTCGCCGTGACGGACCTTGAAAATCTATGAATTAATTATACTTTATACACGGCCCGATGATATCGTCATTGAGGCACGAGATGACAAATGTACCGTCGACATCGCGTTGTCGATCGCGGCTCTACGCTGACTCGTCGTAAATACTACTCTGCACAATAAATTGCTCTGCTCGTTAGCTAATACGATATTAACGTTTATATATAATAGCTTCCCACGAGGCGGAGAGATTCAGGCAGAACGTTGGAAAGAAGGATCGTCCGTGAAAGGCTGTAATTATCGTATCAGAGAAACTGTGAAATCAATCTTTCCGAAAAACAATGACGATGATTGACTCGTCAATGAAACCGACGATTTTTCTCTTCTTTCCTAGATAAATAAACTGTCGTATTTTAATATTTTTTTAAACGTAACGAATTCGACACGAGTACTTGGCTCGATCGATCCCAGAATTCGAAAGATCGATCTGGAATTCGAATGCAGAAAAGAAAGAGCACCGGTATAAAGGTCGATTCTCCACGGACTGTTGAAGGGGTGTTATGGGGCAAAAGCTGCTGGTGCAGGAGGCGCCTGGCTCCGGTTCCGGTTCGACGAATCGGATGGAAGGTGGCGAAGGTGCCGGAGGAGGGGAGCTACACCACTTCCTTCATCAGTACAACCAACAGTCCCACAGTCCCGGGCAGAGCCTGCAGGGTGGCCTTCCGCTTCCGCTTAGCCCGCAGTCCCTCAGACACGACGGTTCGTCGAGCGCCGGTATCACCGGGGTGAAAAGGGAACCGGAGGATTTGAGCTCGTCGCGAGGCGGACAGCAGCCCAGCAAAAGGCACAAACAGGCCCAACCGGAGAGTCCCACGCCACCGGGCATGTACCATCATCATCAACATCAGCTACAGGTAAGAGATGATCCAGTATGATTCTTTTCTTTTCATTTTTGTCGAAGATGATTAATATTTACTATCGCTAATGAATCGACAGGTGCAACAATACGGAAGCCCCTACGACCCCTACAGCTCGTGCAGTCCCCGGCTACAGTCCACGGCGTACACGTCGACCTCGGCGACAGGAGCGGCGAATGCTGGTAACCCGAGCGGATTACACCAGGAGGCGACGGCTGTCTACGTGACCGGTGACGCTCTACCACCGTTGGCGTCGTCCAGTTCCTCCTCGTTGTCGACGACGACCGCTTCGTACACGAGGTACGAGGTTGTGCCAAGCTCTTACGCGACGACACACGCGATACGCTCGTCCTCGAGCAGCAGCAAAGTCCTGACCGTTGATCTTCCCAGCCCTGACTCTGGCATCGGCGCCGACGCTGTCACACCAAGGCAAGATCATCATCCACCCACGGCGCTGCACCAGGTTAGTATCAATCGAAATAATTATTCCATCGACGGTATAGATTAACTTCCAATCTAATCGTCTACCTTGTCTTTGGATCTTGATCTTCGTTGATTCATGGAGATCTTAGTTGTAGTCGATACACGCGATTAGATTCATCCTCGATACAGCACGCGCACTTTCTACCTGGTTGATCACTTTCCATCGGCGTTGATTTCGTGCCCATACACCGTAAAGATGTTCCGATCGCTAGCAACAAATTAATCGGACAACACCTACCATTAAACGTTATCGCTGCCCCATCTCGCAGATATAACTTCTTCCACGCGCAATCATTTTCTGCGCACTCGCTGGAACAGAACCTAACACGGCCTGCTAACGATACCAACCGCTTTACATAATCAGCAACGCATATCTATTAGGGATATCTGACACGTTTGCCTGCCTTCAATGAGAATCGTGCATTGTATCATGATTCTGTAACGTTACGATTCAACGGAGTTATACTAAAAATGATGTGTTATTAATTATTTTTTGCTAGATAAATTGAAACAGAATTTATGTAACGATATCGATAACAATAATATGGAGATTAGTGTGTTCAATTTTTTCATTATGACCGTGAAAAACATTGATTAATGCTGACTACATAAAGTCATTATGTTGATTAATTATCGTGCCAATTAGAGTGATCTTTATTGTAAAATTTCCATTATGATCAAATCGATGAAAATTCTATCGCGTTTAATTTTTATGATTAGATAACATTAATTAATTGCATATGTATGGTATCGTCCAGTTAGCCGAGGCAAATTGCCAGCTAGCGGCTAGCTATCTCGCATAATTTTCGCGCCCGTCGAACGGCCAACGATCCGCGCCGGACCATAAGCGATTCGTCACTCCCACGCATGCTCGGTTGTCGCGGGTAATCGGCCGCTTCCGGAAACATTAATCGTCCGACGGGTGCAACGGGCGGCTCGACCGTGCGAGTTAAGTCATTAGCATTAGCGGTTGACATTACGAATTAGAAAGCACGCGTTCCGTTCTGCTCTGCTTGCACGCGTCGTTTAAAAATGAAACGCGACGCGACGGATCGCGCTCGTCCAGCTAGAATCATGACGAGGCTGTAATTAAAATTTTCATCCACGACCTGTTACAGCTAGAACTTTCCTCTTTCCTCTTTCTACGGCAGAGAGATAATTTCGGATAGACTAACGCGGCGATCGATGACTTCCGGGACGAAGTCGAACGCAGCTGGCTCTCGCTTGTAATTACGGATTAAATCTTTCATGATTTTCCATCCGTGCGACCCCACGCGCGTAACACTAATGCATAATAGTCGTTACACGGTTTTACAGACATTACTACACGGCTGATAAGAAGAAAAATCGTTCCTAAAGACTTTGCTAAGCTTCGAATCGACCGGTACCGTACGCTATAATTATTTAAAACACAAACGTTTCATTTTCACGTTCATTTGCTTAAATATCATTTCACCGGTGATATTTATTTCAATTTTCTAACCTCCGTCGTTTCGCAAGTTTTCGGTTCGCTGAATTTTACAGCCCCGTGATTCGGTGATTCGTAGGTAGCCGGTGTAATTTGCAAGGTTAATGGGTTGGAACAAAGACAGGATTAGAATTGCAATTATTATTTTATGAACTCTTAGATTTTCTAAACTATTCGTTTAGTAGAATGATAAATAGTAGCGAAACTATAAAAGCCAACCTGTTCCGACGGAGAACTACTGAAAAGTAGCCGATCAATGGAGCACACCGGGGTAAAGCAATCTCGCAATATTATAGCGTAAAATAATCGTTATAACCGAACCCGATCATTATTCGACGTTTAATCGAACAAGCCGTATCGATACGAGCATTCCAATTTTTTTCTTCTTTCTCTTCATAATTTCGCCTTGCCAATCGAACACTTCAACTTTTCCGATGATCCTTCAATGGATCCTGTAATTTGCTCGATAACTTACGATCTGTTGCGAAACGGAAATCGCAGCGTTCCAAAACGACGCGACGAAAGGTAGAAAAAGGCGATACTAATAAACTAATAACAAACGCGCCATAATTTGTTTCATACGTGTACAATAAAATGGTACGTCAAATCACGTGGAGACACGTGTACGTTACAGGAGTTGCTGCGCGTAGAAGAATAATTAAATCGACGAAGAGGAGGAGGAGGAGATCTAATGATTTGTGACGCAATTAAGCAAATCGATCGATAGAAAAAGAATTAAGAACGATATCCGATGGATTAATTGATAGCATCGAAAGAGGCGTAGTGTTTGCGCGAATTACCTCCGTTGGATCGAAGGAAAACTTTGTTAAACATTATTATTCGTAATGTTCGCGATAGTGGGTTGGTCGTTCCGGTTAGTTCTGCATGGTTCCTCGAGTTGGTGGAATGGATGGATCGCTTCCGCGATACCGTTCGTCAGGTCGAGTAAACGAGCTGCGGTAACCGCGTTACATTCCAACGAATGAGAACACGGAGGCCTCGCATGAAGACGTACGAGTGAATAAAGCATTCGGAGGGCCCGTTTATTAAGAAACCACCGCTGGAAGCGTGCGGCCGACCCGGACAATTTTACGAGACCGCAACGCCGGCTTGTTTCTACCGCGCCGCTGCTACTTCCGCTTTTGTTTCGCGGAAGTGCTTGCCCTTCTGGCTACTTCTTAGGGCTGCTTCGCAATTAGAGGTGTTCGAGTATTCGTAATTTCCAAGTCGACCGCTTGAATTTGCCGAATTACTCGAAATCGACGAACTGTTTGAAAAAAAAACAAGCTACTCGAAAGAATCCAACTACTCGATTTACTTCGATTTACTTGAAGATGAATTTTCAGCTCGAATATTCGAGTAATTCGGCAAATTCAAGCGCTCGACTCGGCTCAACCGATCGATCATTGTTTGACTCGAAATTCGAGTACTCGAATGAATCGATCTCTATTCGTTTATAGATTTGCTTATTATTTATCAGAAAAAGTCTTGTATTTCCCTGCAGGTACTATGGTACAATGAGCTAATGGGTTAATTCGATATTAATGCAATCATGATATTAAGTATATTGCTCGAAGAGATTGAACGTTAGCTGGATGCTATCAGTTAGCACGTTCCTGTAATTTAATCGGGTAATTGCGAGAGGAGAAAAGAAACAGAACCCCGAACGCCGTTTCAGTAAATTGAAATGTTACATTGTAAGATTAAACTGGGCATAATCACTTTCACCTCGCCAGTCATACGTGTCGGGGATCAAGGAAACGTTTAACAAACTCTCGTTAATATGCAACGTTCGATTACACTCGAGATTTTTATTCGAAACAACGAGTTTCGAGTAGTGGTTTTAAGACTCTTAATTAAGCTATTCGAGTAATTTTCTTTTTAGTAACGGTGAGCTTTTTCTGTTGTTCCTGCAGTCATCTTTCGACTACACGGAATTATGTCCCGGTGGAACGGCAGCAGGAGCCGCTGTGGTCCTCGAGAGCGGTGCAGTGATACACCATCAACCGTTGCAGCTGCAGTTGCAACAGAGCCACGCACAGGCGCAGGTGCAACGCGGAGCCCTGGTGTCCTCGGCAGCGACCACACCGAACCCTAACCCGAATCCACCGAGGTCGCGACCTTGGCACGATTTCGGCAGACAGAACGACGCGGACAAGATTCAGATACCAAAAATGTGAGTATCATTTCTGACTTCTTCAAATTTTATAGCAGGGTGCATCAAAGATAAGATCATCCAAAAAAAATCCAAAGTGCAACCAAATTTCTTAATCAAAATCAAAACCCCTTCAAACTCAACCAAACTTCCGTCGAATTTTTCCAAACTTAAATTCACCCTTCGATAATAGAAATAGTGAAAAATCCAAGTTTTAATCAAAGACCTCCTCAAACCCAAGCAAACTTCCTAAAACAATCTGAAACCATTTCAAACTCGTCGATATCCTGTTGAAACGTAATCTACTCCGTCGAGGAAGCTGCTCCCCAGCAGGATCAACCAGCAAGATCAGCGGCCGCAAGTGTGTACAGAAGTTATAATAAGGCTGAACTAGGTAGGCGGTGAACAGGAGCAGAGTCTCGTAGGCCGTTCACCTGGGCCAGGCTCGGTTATCGGCTCGTATGCACCGCACTGTCCTGGTTGTTCTCCATTGGTGACCGGCGCGACTGAAAAATAAAGAAACGCTACGAATACGAAAGCAAGACGCGTGTCGTCGCATAGATAAAGATAATAGGTCGGCTCTGTAGGCGAAAAGCTCGCTGGTTCGCCGACGATAGCCAGCGCGTTTGGAAAAGCTACGCTTCCTTCGGATAAGGGTAATCGCCTTTTATTTCGCGTTTCGCGGCTCTATATTTAGCGTCGCTAGCCGGTAGCCAGTTCGTTCATTGGATACCTTCGCCAACAACTGGCCTCTACGAGACCGTAAATGTTTATCGGGCAACCGAAGAATGTTGCGAGTAATTTCGTGATAGAACAATTGGTGATCGATGTTATCTATTGAAAATTTTAATCGACATTTTAGGAAGGTAGAACGAAATGCTGATCAACGAAGAATATTATTCGTAATTATTCGCATAATCGTGAAATTAATCGAGCTCAAGTTTTGTTTACACAGTGGTAAGAAAAAAAAAAGTTAATTTTTCCGGTAATTGTGTTTTAATGTATGAAAATTATAGTGCGGATACTGATTTGCTTGTTCATCCGCTGACAAACGTAAATGAATAAGCTTTTACGTTAATCGGTACACATATTTATAATTAGCGCAGATGGAATGATCTCAACTTTTCTTTTGATAACTTGATATCTAAACGCAGATTTTCCGCCTATGGATTCAAGTACCATTTGGAGTCACCAATTAGCACGTCGCAGCGTCGGGAGGACGACAGAATCACGTATATCAACAAGGGTCAATTCTATGGGATCACGTTGGACTATGTTCCCGATCCCGATAAACCCACTTTGAAAGCTGGACAGACAGTTAAGGTAAGAAAAATTATGATAGCATTTTATCGTCTTTCAATGAAATTAAATACAGTGGTACCTCGGTATACGACCTTAATCCGTTCCTGATATTTGGACGTATCAACCTTTCCCATAAGAAGTAATGTAAATATTATATAATTAATCCGTTCTCATGTAAAAACAAACTCCTGTTTTGTAAAATAATTTAAACACTGTTTAAACAAATGACGCAAAATTCACACAAATAATTTATGTATATTGAGGTACCGCTGTATTTAAAAAATGACAAAAGAAAGAAACTTTTAAATAGTCTCAATATTAAATCAATGATAGAAAATACCAAATTAAATAATTAAATTGAAAAATTAAGTGTCTATGTTCTTAGTAACTTGTATTATAATATATGTCTGACCATATACACGAAATACTACTGAAAAAATGAACACCACTTGCAGTGATGCTACAAGCAAAAACGTGACGTACGAACGAATCAATAAGGTATTCCTCTTGAAGTGCATCACGGTGTATAAGGATAATACATAAGCTCGTTTGCAAACTCCTACGAACGGTAGTAGAATTCGCGCGGCCTATGAAGCCGGTCGAATCGAAAAGAAGAAGTCGGACGAGGTCGTTTGTTCTCGCGGCCCTAATTGGCAGCACAGCGCACCGTTAGCAATTTCCATTCTGATAAAGCTGCCGATTCTTCTTTTTTCCCCTCGCCAGGCTAGCAGAAGTTACGACTTCCTCGTTAATTGCTAATCGAACGTTCAACCGCGTGGCCGGCTAGTTACATTCACGTACACACTAAAGAACCAATCCAAACTTCAAATTCCTATTACGTTTATCTTGCCATGAAAATTTTCCAAATGTTCTCCGAGAATCGGTTAAAAATTTTCCCGAAGGAATTTCGAACCCTCCACTTTCTCCTCCGCTTCCGTGTGTTTACCCCGTTTACCATTTTTTCCTATCCTTTTGCTCTTGCAACCGATTCCTCCTTATTAACCACTTTCCCCGTCTTCCTCTCCATTAACCTCTCCCGCTGCCGATAAACCCGTATTTCCCCGGCCTAGGCCAATTCTTCGCCCATTCACCCGAATCAGGAAAAATCCCTTAACCGTCGGGTAGCAGGCGAACATGCGTGCACACCGGTCTGCTTAGTCGAGCGTGATTCTGTCGCGACGACCGATGTCACGCTCACGCGAGCCACGCGTTATCGTCGACGGGCTCGAGCTGCCGATGGATTTTTCATCGCCTACCAGCGTTCAACGGTTGCCTGATTCTGAATTATTTGTCGGCAATCTGTACGGCGTGGCTGCCTCGCCGGATACGTTAACCCGCGAAATACGCCTCGGGGACACGTGTAACTGGTTCGCAAGAAGGTTAAACTTTATCCGATCGCGCGGCTACGGACAATAAGGAACTGGATAAACACACGCGATAGAAGTATCTATTCAGATGCATCCTGTCGGTTCAAAAGACTTTCGGTTAATATCTACATCAGAAATTGCACCGAAATTCCAAGGATCGCGTATAAATAAGAATTAGGTAAAAGTAGAGCGAGATTCGCTTTAAAGTCAGACCGGAAGTGAAAGAAGAAAAAAAGAAATTCAGATATTCATTGAGATTTCTTACCGTTTGGCCTGTACAAAAGTGACAGAAAGTCTGAATCAATGTTTCCCAACGTGGAGCCCACGCCCCACAGGGGGGCAATTTGATTGTTAAGGGTGGCAATTCGAAAATGGACGAAAGACGACTCTCAGTCGTCTAATTATTAATAATTAAAATAATATAGAAAAATCTTTGATTAAAATTATTTCCTACTCGAATTTCGGTTCTCCATTATTTCCTCAACAATTTCCTAGTGATTTCTTCAGTGAACAATTCAATTTTTGAATATTAAAAATTATGTTTACGTTATGGCACAAAAAAGGTTGGGAAACACTGGTCTAAATGCTTTAGTTCCCTTCTCAAGATTTTCAATCTTAGATACGGGTTGGCTAATAATTGCAATTTTTTTCGAAACCTTGCCCGCGAGCCACGGGTTGACTAGTCCTGATTTAAATGAATTTACCTAAATGTTAGTGAAAACGCGATCGGCGACCATTTCGAATGGAAAGTTGAGATTATCGGTTTGTTGGTCGGCAGAAGTGCATTCGAGTGGCGGGCCGATTACACGCGTCATAAATCACACGGTAGCGTGTAATTATGTAACGGAGATTATAGATTCCAGCATCGACATCGAGACGAAGGTTGTGGTATATCGAACGTGAAGTTTTTCGAATTTTACGCATAATGACGCCTCGCTCGTCCCCCGGTATCATTTGCCTTCAATGATCCATCAATGGCCAGGCAGACAATGCACGTTCGGTAATGGAACGTTCTACCGGTCGATGGAATCTGCTGACACACGGTAAACGCGAATTTCGCGTGAGCGTGGCATCGCTAGGGAACATAGAGACACGCTCGAACGGGCGCACACGCACATCGTATAAATCAGCCGATACCGTATAATCCAGTAGCATAAATTGCACCATTCGACACTGCTAATTCCCAATAAATGGCCGTCTATCCTAAGATAACCGAGTTTTCGAGCCGATTTTTTCCCATTTCTTTATCGTTCGCAAACTGTGTCCCGTGATTCATTGGTGAAAAAATGCCGTTACGCTCGGGGTGCAATTATGTTGATTAATTGAGAGAAAGAGACACGTGACAGTTGGAAGTCCTTTTTTTTTTTCCTCGCCTAACCGAGCGACCGCGTCTTTCGATTAAAATTGCGATCGTCGATCGTGGCTGCAGTTCCAGGACTCTGTAATTACGGGATATAATGTTTCGTCGTACGAAACGGTGTCGCGTTAACAAAAAGTTTTATAGACTGCTAAGAATTGCACGATGAACCAATAAAAAATGTTTGTTTCAACAGGTTCGATTCTGTTCGACAGATCGGTGTCTTTGATAAGCGTAATTATTATTGTTAATTTTCTAAATTATCCCTTTCACCGATAACTTAATCATTTATTTAAAAGAAATTTTGCAAGCTGATAAAATGAAGCATTAAAGCACAGGTGTGCCATGTATACCTATCTTATTTAATATTATTTCTAATTTATTGTTAGTTTTATTTGCTACCAGCTTATCGTTCCATCAAAGCATCGTAATGATCACCTTCTGTCTTACCGCAAGCTCGCTCACGTATAATCATTATTACCTCGAGCTGGCTATTTAGATGTCCAGATACCAGGTGTTGCCTCCGAACATATCACTGATATTTCTCTGCGATTCCTTAAAAAATAGAGCGCAAATAATAGTGGCAATATGAGAGTATAAAAAAAAAAAAAATTTAATCGTCCATACGACTCATGAATAAAGCAAACTTCTCCGGTTCTTAACGAATGGAATTGCAAAAAGCTGTTTGATTCTTTGCTGGAATTGTGAAAAAATCCGGGACCAAAGCGCGTCACCGGAAGTCATTCATCTGCCCTTACAGCATATCGCGGTTAATAAAGTACTTATAACATTCTCTTGATGTTTTGTCACGCAGAGCGTGGTAATGTTGATGTTCCGAGAGGAGAAGAGCCCAGAGGACGAGATTAAGGCGTGGCAATTCTGGCACGGAAGGCAACATTCTGTCAAGCAACGCATCCTGGATGCCGGTAAGTAAAGCGTGCAGAATTACCCGGACTTGATCTCATTAAATCTTCTGAAAACAAATGATCAGCCTCGGCTACTTGTTCCAATTACGATTATAATTAATCCACACTTTACTTGCGATGCAAAAAAAAATATATATAAAAAGAATAGAAGGATAAAATAAATTTTTGATTATAAGTATTTTTGCGCAAGCTGCTCGTTACAGGATAATAGCCTCTCGGTAAGATCGTGTCGAAGGAACGTTTCTAAAAGGAATCGCGCCCTTTTCGAACCGTCAAAGAATGATTTGCGATTATTATAATAATCTATACCATTACAGACACGAAGAACAGCGTGGGATTGGTGGGCTGCATAGAAGAAGTTGCGCACAATGCGATCGCCGTTTATTGGAACCCACTCGAGTCCTCGGCTAAGGTACGAGAGGATCCTTTGATTTCCATTTGCATCTAACAATCTATGGGAGGATCTAATACGAGCCCGTGCTTATTCACTGCCTCGTTGCACCACGCTATACTTCAGTCTTCTGATTTTATTTAAATATCCTTTTTCTATATTATTGCAGATCAACGTTGCGGTGCAATGTCTCAGCACAGATTTCTCCAGTCAGAAAGGTGTGAAAGGATTGCCTTTGCACATTCAGGTGGACACTTATGAGGAACCACCGCCGCACGCCCACACGTACACGCCACCCTCGCATCGTGGATATTGTCAGATCAAAGTATTCTGCGATAAGGTAGAACTGAATTTTATTCGATAGAATCAACGAGTTTACTGGCAGATGTTGTTTGGATGTATTTTGGCATCGTGTATTTTCTTTCTTGTAAAATGATAAATACGTGGATGTTTATTCAGGGAGCCGAAAGGAAGACCCGTGACGAGGAAAGGAGAGCAGCGAAGAGAAAAATGACGGCTACCGGGAGGAAAAAACTGGACGAATTGTACCATTCCGTCACGGAGCGCAGTGAATTTTATTCCATGGTGGATCTTCATAAGCCACCGGTTCTTTTCTCGCCACCGGCTGAGCACACTATAGACAAGGTACTTGTCAGGATTTCTGATCGAAGGAGCTGTTCAAATTTAAATAGAAATATGCAAGAACTTGATATTTGCAAACAACGATTACCTTCCTCTGTATTTGTCTTCTCTTTTTATTTTTCAACTATGTAGACACGAGCATGATAGTATTTTATTAAGAGAATATTCTATGTACCTTGCAACACGTTTAACATCTTCACGGACACTTTCACACACACGAATTCAATTCACGAAATTAAATCACATCGCAATAAACGTTCCGTGAACGTGTTAATTGTCTGAACACGAGATGTCAAGACCAGCAAGGTTGTCTTTAACGATAAACTAACAAAATGCAATGAGAAATCAGGCACGATATGTCTGCGTAGTATCCACCACAATCCTCTGCTCTCAACACCGCCAAAACTCTCCACTAACCGCAACTCTTACATCGCCATAACAAACAATAGCAATTTCCGTGAAAGGATAGTACCCAGCAGATTAGCGAATCACTGATACACTTTAATTATGAAATACAAAATTCTCTCTTAGACAACTTTGATCGCTGCAAAATTATTGCAACCCTCTAGCTTGTTCCTTAAACCTTTCAAAGCGAATTAGTGTACTTTCGAAGCACTTTCGGAATCTCTGTTCAAAGGAACGCGGGGAGTTGGCATTTTTCCTCGCGTTCCTTTTGAACAAAGCAGAAAAGCCATCATGCCGAAAAAGTACACCCCCTTCTGAAAGGATGAATTCTAAAATGGGTACACGCGGTTTCCATAGAAGGCTCGTAAAAATCAATAGAATAAAAAGAAAGAAAAAAACATATCTGTTTCTTGTTTTCCACGACAGTTCTCGACGATGGAGTTGTCGGGCTTCTACGGAGGTGGCGGCGGGGGCGGTGGCGATACAGACACATCGTCCCTGAGTAACGGTGAGGGCGGAGGATTGAAGGCAGGGGGTAGCAGCCCTTATCCTGCCTGCGGCAGACCCAGCTTGCCGGCCCTCAAGTTCCACAACCACTTTCCGCCCGACAATCTGACTAGCCTCCACGACAAGAAGGACTCGTTGCTGATGCAGGTGCAGGAGCTGCAGGGCTCGGTGCTGCAGGGAGTGCAGCAAGCTGGTCTCACTGGCACCGTTGTATCCGGAGTTGGTAACAGGCTACACTTGCAGCAACAACCACCCCATCTACGGCCGGCCGACACCGAGGAAAGGGTGATGCTGTACGTCCGTCAGGAGTCGGAGGACGTCTATACGCCGTTACACGTCACACCGCCGACCGTCCAGGGACTGTTGAATGCTGTAAGAAAAAATCAAGGATTAATTCTATCGCGACGACACCTGTTCGAAACATACACACACTCGTGTCAGGCATCCCTTGGACATGTAATTTCCTTGAAACCTGACGAGTTTAAATCGTCCGGGCACGGTTCCACAAAGGGCAGGAATATTCCGTACGGTGATACGATAGTATTCGGAAACAAATGTGAAACGTTACATAAGTAGAGGCGCGTTAAGCCCGGGTGCGTTCGAAAGTACTATATTGCTCGATTCCATCGTCTATATTTATACCGTACAGGGGAACGTTTCGAAACCTGTACGGTAACAAATCCCTGATAGAAAGCGACACGCGGAACGTTTCGACGTTCGCGACGTTAACCGGCGATATCTTGACGCGACCAATTTATCACGTTTCTACGTGGCCGTGTTCGATTTGACGTTAGTGCCCCCGGTATGAATAATGAGTGATGCGCGAGAGTAACACGAGATATACAAGAAACACACCCGTATATACGTATATATTATATATATATATAAGTATTAGCTATGCATGCGAGAGCATACCACACCATTTATTAATACCTGTTGCACCGTTCCATTACGCTGATATTAATATTAACGCGCATGCATCACTCCTCCAAAATCCTCATTAATTAATACGATACGAGTGCGATGGATCACGCACACGATAGATATCATTAACCCCTGAGATCGCGAGATCAATGCTTTCGACGTTAGAGGTGCCATTCACATTGGATTATTGACCAACTGTACGCAGATATGGTCACGTTGTTATGTGGCAGAAAAAAGTGGAAAAGAACGTGGTATTTTTTTTTTTTTTCTATTACAATCGCGATTTTTTATTTCATACGTTTCGTCTCCCTTTTCTTAAATAAGAACGAAGGACGATATTAAAAATGAGTGAATTTTGGTATTGGGGGTGGAAAAATCAAAATTCATCTATTTTTGATATTATCTTTTATCATAGAAGATAGGGGGATTTTTTTGTCGAGCAACCCTTGTTTCTCTTTTTCTCTTCCTCCCCCTCGTATGTCTTTCTCTTTTTTTTTTTTTTTTTTTATTTGTCTATCTCTGATATGCGTCGCGTCGCTTCGCGATAAAGAGCCTCCTTGGTAAACCGCCTACGACGACCGATGGTCCGCAATCACTATCAAAATTCTAATGTTCTACTTTTTTCTATTTTACAGATTGAGTCAAAGTACAAAATTGCATCCTCGAGTATTAATAACCTCTATCGCAAAAACACAAAGGGGTAAGTTTAGTAGAGTGTCATCTTTACTTGCATGCACCGCCCACACGTAGTGCATGCCATAACGGTGACATTGCCTGACTCTCTCCGCCTGGTTTGCTAGTCTCTATCTGTCTATCCCTACTTCCGGTACCGTACACGCCCTTAACTTCTTCGATACGAGCTATTCAATATACATATTCTCTCTAAACTTCTGGTACCTATGGATCTCTCTTCTCTTCTCTTCTATTTTATTCGTTCTATCTGAGGAACACGAGGTTCCTCGTTGGCCACACTGATTCAAACGAGCTTTCTCGTTTAATCCACCGACTAATCCGCTAATCTGTCCACTCTTCCTTAAGTCTTCTATTTCTATCCTGTCACGAGTGTTCCCCGTGCATGCCTGCCCGCTTGTCTGCTTGCTTGCTTCTCCGCATGTATTCTCCTCTAGGATCAGCGCATGTTTCTTAACTCTCAAACGCATCACGCACTTCATCCGCATGGATACCTGTGTTTTTATTCGTGTACTATTTCTTGTTTATACACTGGACGGAATTCCTGCTCTCTTGTAATTTACTTTGGGTCGACCGTGACTTCAGAAACGTCGCGTCGCATTGATGAAATCGACAGACTTGCTGGAAATATCAGACGTTAATTAAGGGTGGAAATGACTGAAGGGTTGATATATTGTCACAGGGGTGATTTTTAACTCTCTGGAATGATTAAATTATTTAATAAGCAACAAATCTGTCGTAATATCAGAACACGAACGACGAAGTCCCGTTTCGATCGCACTCTGCTTAAAATACGCATCGTCAAGCGAAACGAAAGCGAATACGCCAGAATGCGATAGAATTCATATTTCCTGCCCCTTAACACGAAACGAATACATATATAAAAGCCGGGTCATACGATCTCGTTTCTACATTCTATATAAGTTTCACGCCTGTTTCAAGTACACAGAGAATCTCGAGTTCCGTTTCTTTGTTCGTACCTGTGTGTATACATAACAATGTGTTTCTTTTACCTAGAAACCGTAGGAATATCTCGTAGACTATATAAAGTATCAACAAATTATATTTGTAAATATTGCATGGTATGAAGGGTTAAATACGTCTTTTTAAATGGAACTATATAAATACATATTTTTCTTTTTCAGATCATACGGTCTTCTATCTTTCAAAATAACTTTCATACAAGATATTCCTACATTTTCAATTAAAAATGACACACTATGCTATTTAAATTTGGATAAAAATTTTAAGCAGGGTAGTCTCGTGTCCTTCTATTTCATTTTATTAAAAATCACATCGTCATCCTGTTGCAGAATTACAGCGAAAATTGATGACGACATGATCCGATACTACGTGGACGAGGATCTCTTCTTGCTGGAGGTGACCCACTCCAGAATGAACCCGGACCCGAGTAACGATCGCAACCCTAACAATCCCGGTTCACCGGGTGATCCCGGCGATCCTGGCGATCCACCCGCGACCGCTGGTTACGACGTCACCCTGATCGAACTACCCTCGACCCCGGCTCACGTCGCTCATTCACCGTTAACGAACTCGTCGCACGGTCACGCGCACGTTCACGACGGTGGCAACACGTGAAGCGACGATGAGACATGCAAGAATGAAAGTATATTGTAACATGTAGCTTTCCGTTTTGTGTAAATAAGTCTGAGAGAAGGAGCGAGAGGATAGCAGCCGTCGACGATCGCGGAGTATCGTCGACACGGTGCAATGTGAGAAAGGGACACTGGGACAGTCCGATCGGAGAGCTTTTCAAGAATTACCCCCAGTTGTTGAAAAGTATCGTCGTGCAAGCAATGGAACAGGATCTGTAAGGATGGATCTTTGATCGTGTTAATTACGATTGTTATCTTGCCGCAACAGTGCTCGAAGAAGTTCGTTTTAAGAAGAAACAACCCTGAAGAGGATCGAATGGAAGATGATCGACCCTGCTGTACTTGGGACTCCATGTGATTGGACTTCAAAGAAAACGAGAAACTGTTCGTAACCGTACAACTTAAGAAGTCAAAAAAGAAAAAAAAGCGATTGTTAGTTTATAGTGATCGTCTTGTGTATCGTTTTAGAAGGCCGCTGGTTGATTTGATGTACAGGCAGTTCAATTACGAGTTTCGTGTATCTTACATTTCTGTATTTTTTGATTATCGATGAAAGAGAATGTTATGCAAAGATTGGCTATAAACACTTTGTTATAAGATTGTAGATTAATATCATTTTACCAGGTGGTGGTTATCGTCAGTATTACTTTTTCAACTGTTTTTGAATTTATAAAAGCTCGTGTATATATACAGGAATTGCTTGGTTAATTGAACAGCCTGGTAATAACGGCGAGGTACTCGAATCGAAACACAAGATCGCGAAAAAGTATATCCGTAGCCGTGCAAGGCGACTCGTTATTTTATATTTTTGTTTGTTTTCACTTGTGAACAATTTATATCGATGGTTGTTAGCTTGTAGAGTAAATCGTGGCGTCGTAGTTGAAACGCGAACGCGATCTATTATAAATCAATCAAAATTGATTTAAGGACTCCCTCTCCGACTCCCTGTATCCCCCTGTTAAATGTTAAGTTATACGTATGACGTATAGATGTATATGAGAAATCAATTGTATTTTATCGTATCGTCGATTTAGAGTTTAAATTCTTGTTTACGGCGTTCAAACCCTCGAACGACGGTAGCCGGGTCAATCGTGACCCAGTGCTCTGACAATACTCAGAATTATCAAATAAAAATCTTACATACATTAAGAAAATAATAGGATCTAAAGAAATAGTAGAAAATTTAGAAACTTCAGATGAAATTAAAATTTTAAAATCATTGGGTAGGATCGATAGAGACCCAGCTCCGTCATACGAGGGTTAGTGAAAGAACAACGCGATTGATTAATCTGTTAATGATCGGGCGCGTTGATCGAGCAAGCTTTTATTTTATACCAAGACTATGAGAACTCTTAATGTCGCCATTCCAAGATAGACGGGTGCCATCCAAGCATTATCTCTTCATAGCGTTACGTTCATACACTTCTGTTCGATCTTGATCGGTTTCTCAAGCACGCGCGATAACGTCACATCATACCGAATGATCAAGGACCTCTAATATTCCATATGGTTCGCGTGAAACGCTGCCAATTTCTTCCGCAAACTGTTCACCTTCGTATCTCACTATTTATACGTACCGTTCAAGGAGAATCTTAATACTGATTAACCATTCTTAGGATACTTCGCCGTCATTCCAGATGCTCCTGAGTAGCCCAGGATCCTTTTGATATTATTACCAAGAGCAAGTATTAATCAAATACGTAATTTCTCAAGTTGGATGATCATGAAAGAGGACACAGCTTCGTGTATAAACTGTTAGTAGGGACTAGTTATGCGAAAAATTTCGATGGAATCACTGTCGCGGTTCATTGCGATCAGCAATATTTAGGATAGATAGTTGTATCGATATCTTTAATAAACCACAGTCGTTGTTAGAATGTTAGCCGATCCTTTGAGGACAACCGATTGAACAATTTATTTCATTAGCGATCAAGAGTGTATCATGGAGTGTTTTATTATAAAAATTCAAGTCAGAATATGTACGTTGACTTTCACTATGTACGTCCACTTGCCAATCTCTAAATCACATATATTGTATATACGTCGATAGTCCTCAAAGGATTAATCACGTGAAACCCGAGTTTATCTTGTTTATGGCGGAAACGACTCTGTGTAACTTCGTCATCGTCGTAGCTTTCGGATGAATGACAAGATATAAAACAATAAAATAGCCTGCGGTCGTATCGTTTTTAAGGTTGAAGTAACATTAACGTGCCACTGGTGAAAGCGAGCCATTCGTCATTCATAAGTATAGTGATTTTGTATCGCTCGCATGTACATACGTGTATTATCAGGTGCAATTTAGACTTTTTTTTTTGGTCAGAAGGGAATATGAGGGAGAGTGCTCTACCAGTTGCCTTATTTGTTCGTGTTCTTTGCGTGCAAGGATAACAGGCTCTCCTTGGGCTCATCCTGGGTCCATCCAGGATTATAGACCATTGGTAGGTTCTTCTTCTTCTACACTTACTTTTAACCAAAATAAACCTATATTGCATCTGAGTGTACACACACACACGTATACATACTCGTATTGCACCCCTACAAGAAAAATGATTCAAGTTTGAATTTTTTAAATTTCTGATGAATTATATGTACTTTTCAATTACCATGAATAATTAATTTTGAAATATGTAACTTTTTTGGATTTTTGTTTGTATCACTTTTCTTGTAGAACAGCTATACATAAAACACTGTCATCAATTATAAAATCATTGTTAGTTTACGTTTAGATTCGACTAGAGAAAAAAAACTCATTGTTATACACACATATTAAACCACGACACCGATATCAAAGCAAGGATCAAAATACGCTTGTAAAATGCATATTATTATATGAGTACTATATTTTGTTACATCAATTGCAAGACAGCATATAGTTTGATATTACTAATTATATATATATACATATATATATATATATGATTCTATTGACTAGATCTACGTAATACGTATATTATTATTAATATTATTATTTTTATACAAGGGGTGAGTGTATCCATGGTGCGAGAATGAGAGTAATATGGAAGGATCGAAAGAGGAAGAAGAGAGATAAGAATGAACGTGGAAGAATGAATGAAGAGATGAAGTATGTCTGAAGTTCGACGGAGAAGAAGAGGTATTTTAGAAATATGAAGATTGTTAGCGTTGCTCCATGACATTTTTATTCATAATCAATATCTTCCCCGACACCCTGCTCATTTTATTACCATATAAAGTTAGCCACCCTACCATCGACCCGCCCCTCGAATCATTCTTCTTTGATCATTTGCAGTTAAGTCTCGATAGACTCGTCGCATTTGCAGGAACGAATCTTTTCTTTTTTTTTTTTTTTTTAATCGCTATAGTATCATCCCTTATAATCTTTACGTTTATTAATATTATTAATTAATGTTATACATCCATGAAAGGCAGTCGCGTTACAGTCAGGAGAAGACCTCGATCGCAAACGAGACCCCAGTGAAGAGACGAAGAAATGAGTATAACGCGTTTGTTTTCTTTTTTTCCTTTTTTCTCCTATTTTTTATTTTGCGTCCAGGCATAGTTTTTAGAAGAGGAGCCGATTCGTGGCCTTCTCCTGAACGTTCGTCAGCCATCTCGAAATCGTACTTAAAACGACGTAAACGACGATGCGAAACGAGCCGAAAACGGCCTCGTTCTTTTATAGATGTTGTTAGAACGTGTAAGAGAAGAAAAGAAGTTAGTGTGTTGATGATACGGCCGATTTTAGGCCTAGCGCGCGCAGTGTACTGTTTTGTTAAGGAGATGAAGAAGCAGAGACAAGTTGCGGAACAGAAGTGAATGCGAGAATATCGAATATAATACCGTTTTCGCGTTGTCTTGCCATCGTGAGATTGTGCCAGAGGTGATATTATATTACGCTGTTTATTGCAAACAATAAATATTATATTAGTACGTTTTATAAATTGCGCGTTGTTCTTCGTGATCCTTGAAATAATTCTTCAGGTTCTCGAGGACCTCTAAGCTCGTGGATTTGAAGGACTTCTAGACTGCAAGAATCTGCGAATTTGAGAGATTTTTAGTTTGGAGACTTCAGAGTGCCAAGGACCTCCAATTCCTAAAAACTCCCAAATATCTCTGAACCATGCAAATTTTTCAATCCTCCAAATCCTCCTATTTATCAACATTACAATTCCAAATCCTATACAAAGACTTATTCATCCGAAATCCTGAGAATAATTCTACCAATCCTACGATCTTCCATAAAAGCAAATATGAATCCAAATAATCACCTATAGAATTCCCATTCACAGAGATCAGCTAAAAGTTTCGTCAAGGGCTTCCATACCTCCTGGAATATCGGCAAACCTGTTGGTCAAGATATTTCTGGGCATGAAAAGTTATAAAAGAAGGGCCGGGTAAAAAGAAGAAAAATAAAACGGAGCCATAAAATCAGATGACCGGAAAGTGGCTGACAAACTCTCAAAGAGATCCGCAAGAGTTTTATAGATGAGCTGCTTCGAACACTAAGGATCCTCCATTGATAAATCATAAGATATATCATTTTTTATATTCTAACGGTCACATAAATAAAAAAAGAAATGACATAAACTCCCCTCGATATCGTTTAATGGCGTCTGGTTAATAACTAATCAAATATTCGGGAATCGTTCCCTCTGCATACATTGAGGATCATCGATTTTCATATAACACTGCTGTGCGTCAGTATTCGTGGACATTGATGATTGTGTGGCGATATACGACCTTGTAGTGGGACACTGGCCCTAACCTCATCGATTCTTTTATACTCGATACTTTTCATCGTAGGTGAAATTCTATAATGATCAACGAGTCGCGTTAATGAAATATTAAAATGACATTAATCCCCTAACCTCAATTCAGAATTATGCAATTTGTTTGCAAACATTCTTCAGAGTACCGAACAAGGTGATACACACTTCTTATCAAACGAAGAGTACTTTAAGACTGTTTACAAGTACGTAATGAAAAAGTGATCCTGAGGCAACCGGTTTCCAGAAGGAGAACCTCGGATGGCGCCAATACAGGATCTTGAACCAAATTTCATTAGTCCGTCTTGTTATCGAAACTTGTTCATGCTAAATCAATATTTCAATCGGTCAACTCGAACGTGAACTAAAAGGCTGTCAAATCCTTTGATCATTCTGTTGGACATCGATTTCCAATTAAGCGTCATGTCAGCTAGTCAGACAATGAACCCGACACCTTTTCGTAGAAGGAAAAGATGAACGATTCTAAATATCCTGGTCCTTCTAAATAATTCGTGGGTATTTTTAGAAAGGTCTGGTTTAGTATCCTAAAATGTCAGGCCCTTTATATATATTTTGACAATGACAGAAGGTCCAACTGAATGTAGAGGCTGATGAAAAAGTAGGTGACCAAATTTTGGTTGAAAAGACTCCACACCTACGTTCGGATAACCTTTCCTCCTCTTCTCAAAGTAGCATATGCTACCAAAGTTAGGCTACTTAGCACAGATAGGAGTATTGAGAAATTTAAATAGGCACGGATTTAAAATGATAATGAACATCAGTCTTTGGAAGAATTCGTTGAAAGGAACGAGGTAACAGTTCTATTGAAGACTAATGGATGGACTTAATGGTATTATTCAGTTCGAGATTTATTAAATATCGCAAATGGTTTGTAAAGTGTGATCGGCGGTTCAGTGACACAGATTATTAATAGCCTGTTCGAAGAAAGGATGAGATTAGCATGGAAAAAGAAGAAAGAAGAAATGTTTGCCTTGTTTTCTCCCCTTCGCCCTTTAAGGAACAGTTCAATGAACCATGGAATGTGAAGTTTATATCCATCTCAAGGACTGGCACTACCTTCTTTCGTTCTTTTTTCCTGAAGCCTTGCCCTGATACCGTGTTTTCGTGAAAAAGACCAGTCTGACCATCGTTCAGCCAAGCCCCAAACTAATCGTCGAAATTTCTATAAATAGACACGTTTCTCGATCAATTCTAAACATTCCCGATGTTGATACATTATTTATTTATTAACTCTACATAGTATCAGAGTCCGCAAGTATTTATTTTCTGCAATTATTAACCACGGTGCAATTTACTACGCTTTTAATTAACCATTGAAACCTTCAATACCAATGTGGATACGCGATTCAAGTTTAAATCCCTGACAAGCAACTGTGTAACCAGTTACATTTGATATTACATGACGTTACTTCCCTTAAGAACCGACGTTACACCTGTTTAGCAAGAAGGAAACAGGATGCAATTAGTGTTGAGAGACTTAAAAGAATTAATGAGCTAAATAATCAATAATTACCAATGGAATAATCTCTTACCAATGACATAATAATTTCCTTTCACTCATCTAAGATGAATGTATCTAATTCCTAATTTAAAGTACTAATACCAAAATCAAATTTGAATACAAAAGAAGAAATGCTAGTGAAACAGGAAATTCCACGAACATCATACAGGAAAAAGCTTCTGTTTCTCGCTAAGAAATTTGAAAGCAACGAGCGAAAACTACATGACCGATATTATGTACACGATACACGGTCCGAAGAAATTCCATTCATCGTGGATCAAAAGGAAATGCACGCGGTACGTTGGCATCTGCTATGGTGCACGAGGAACACATGGCAAGTTCACGGCCGTCCCTTACGTGCAGCCTTCACCTCGGCCTCTTCAAGGCCAACACGAGAATCCTACTCTCTATGCAAATGCTCGTGTGGACTCGACATATTCACATTCGACAGAAGTGCTTTCGCGCGATAAATCATAGTTGAGCCGGTTCCGTCGCCCGACTTACATAATCAACGACGACGCAAAATTTCTATCAACCGCTACATTTTTTTTCCTCGTTACATTATATATTCGTGATTCGTATCGGGCAAACGATACGGCGACCCGTTATCGAACGAGGAACATTAGATAAAATCGAGAAAAGAAGACATGGAGCACAGTGTTTGCGAAATGAGTTCTTCATATGGAATCATTAATCAAATGAGCGGACTGATTCGATGTCATTTATCACGACCAACTTCTGAATCTTTCTAGTATAATCATCTTATGGTCGTGATAAACAATCCTATTAAGTTTGGAGCGTGACACAGTTTCGTGACATAAAAGTACCGTAAAATACCACTTATGGCATATCAATTTAAAGATTAAAAATTAATCAAAATAACTATCTTTCTCATTTGAAGATATAAATTAGTGAACAATATTAACTGTAAATTAGTCAATCCATTATTTATTTCAATGAAGAATTATTAAATTTGTATTAAGAATATCTTCTGTACGTTTATGTCGTCAAATCGCACCCTCAGGATCAAGTATTAAATCATTCAGAAGCTATCTCTCAAAGTTCGCGAAAAATTCGTCAGCTTCAAATCTGGTTCGCACCCTCTGCCCAACTTTTAGCTCGCTCATGCCTCGATGGTGCTGTTCGATCGGTAAAAGAACAACAGAAGAGCCCGATGTTTCTCGTGACTCGAACCTGCTGGGGGCAAAGAACAGCTCAGAGCAACGAGAGGGGAGAACGAGCCCGTTATAAGCACGAGCACCGGCTATTCAGCAGCTTAGCAACTTAGTGTCGGTCCCTGAATCCCTACTGGTAACAACGACAGGGACCAAGACTCGTGTTCCTCCTCGCGTGTTTATTTTTCTTCCGGTTCCCGTGTTCACCGACGAACGATGGACCAACGACGTCGAACGTTATCACCCGCAATGATGCTGACGATGGTAATGATGTCTCTCGCGATGATCTTGTCGATCTCTGCCTCCATCGACGCAGATCAGCTGGGAAAATCGATGATCTTCGAATCGTTGGAGGAGGTCCAGCACGACGAAAATGATGACAATGCGGTGGTCGTCGACGGTGAGTGACGATCGACGTTTTCTTCCCGCTCGATCTGTTACATCAAGATTTAATAACTGGATTTCATTATTTTTTGCCAGAGTAATTAGATATTAGTTAAAGTTTCAGATGACATTCATGATCTACCTCAACCATGATCAACGAGGATTTAAATGAAAGATTATTTTTCACGTCGTACATTTAACGATCAGTCGTTCCTGGCAATAATTAGTCGATTAGCTTGATGTAGTATTGTTACCTCCTTCGTTGATGGTTGGACATCGATCACTTCAAGATCCCACCTGAAAGAGGAAGAATAGATATTAGTACAGTGATTATGTGGCACTTATCACTCTCAATGATTAATGACACGAGTTCAAAGTTTACCGTAAATATCATGTATATGTAGAAAGAATGAAACGTGAGTATTGAGAGACGAGCAATCATCATCGCGTTCCATACACGGCAAACGGAAGTCTTCCAGGCGCGTACCAGCCTCGTCCGCTGGCGTGTGTGCGCGCACCTGTGTGTATCCTGGGTCAGCGAACTCGCCGTCGTGAATCTGGATGGAATTCTATTGTGACATCTGGCCTCAAACAATTTGTCACCGCTCGATAATATGACATAAAAACTGTCCTTTAATTTCTTGGAAGTAGCGTGGGCTTGTTTTTTCAGTAATTAAAATTCCACACAGTACCAACGCTATGTCAACGATTGATGAAGAAGATCATAAGAATACGGTGCAATATAGGCTTCTTGATTTGGTTTTCATTTTCAGAGACCCTAAAGAGAACCTAGGGACCCTACATTTCTCTTGGTGAAGAGATATCTAAAATTTGCACGGGACTGTACAAAATATACGAGCATTGTTAAATTGAAATGTATAGAAGCTAGTTCGATGACTTAAAGACATTCTTGCGTCAGATTCTTCTAATTGTAAGGAAGATTTATGCGGCGAACACGAGGCACCGTAAGAAAAAAAAGTAGAAAGCCTATGTCAATCACACGGTTTTCTTGCGAACATGTCAAGCACGCACTATACGAAGCGCCGGACAATCTGCATTCATTACAACGGTAGAAGATGTGTCATTCTTTGTCAGACATCGTTAATGCACACACGTGTACATGTGTACGTGCCGTAGCAAATATTTAATGCCTTAGTAAACACGGCGACATGTTCGCAATCCTATCACGAACCTCTCGGAAAGGGAGAAGCTGACAGTAGAAAAGGAGTTTCTTTTAACGAAAAAGAAAGTAGAAATCGGTGTCCTTCCCAAAATTAATCGTTTATCAATTCTTTTTGCGCAGCTGCCAGCGACTCGGATGCTCCATTCGAGGCGAGGGAAGGTCGTGGTATCCTTTGGAACGGTATTGCCAAGAGCGAGTCTTGTCTGACGTCGAAAGGCGATATTGGTCGTTGCACCAGCTTCAAGGAGTGCTACCCTTATTTCAAGATTCCTGATCTCAGCGCCCTCGACGGCTGGGTTCTAGGCGTTTACGATACCTGCAGCTACGTGCGAGATAATGGCCAAACGACTTTCGGTATCTGCTGTTCCAATGTACTTCCGGTTATCATTCCACCCTTGGATAACAATGAAGAACCCATTCCAGAGGACGTCCAGGTAATCGGTCGACCTAGGTGAATCAATGATCAATAGAGATTCTTAAATTTTTAATGAACATAATTATTATCACTGATAAGACTCACCGTTTAGGTTCCCTTAGGATAAAAACATTTTTGAACATGGATCATGGAGCTTCGGTTAGTTACCGGGAACTCGTAAAAATAGTACGTGATACGAATTAAAAACATTGGATCCGACATAGAAAGTTCCACTTCTAATGTATCTGTCGACGCAATTTCGCAAACGGTCTTTTACGACCCCGGTACAACTACCGTGCCAAATCGTACCACTCTCTAATCCCGATTCCTTTCTACAGAAATTTGAACGCTCTCTCGATGTTACAGGATAACGATAAGAACAAAGAGCAAGGTATGAAACCAAGGCCGCAGACACCGGGTATTGGTTCCTGGCCACCGCCGATACCGACGCATCCACCCGATCACACGATACCACCGTTGCCCACTCATCCGCCGTTTGAATTACCAACGATCTCGACGATCAAACCAGTTTCCACGTCGAAGAAACCTGGCATCGCGACGACCTGGCCGACGAAAAAACCTGGCTGGTGGCCGGGCGCGTCCACCGTATCGACACCGTCGACCAGCGAAAAACCGTCCGGGACCATTTCCAGCATCGACGCGTCTCAGTGCGGAGCGAAAAACGGTAATCAGGACCAGGAACGCATCGTGGGCGGTCAGAATGCTGACCCAGGCGAGTGGCCTTGGATCGCGGCGCTCTTCAACGCGGGCAGACAATTCTGCGGTGGTTCCCTCATCGACGATAAACACATTCTCACCGCGGCTCATTGCGTTGCCAAGTAAGTCTCTGATAAACGCGCGGCATGATAAAAATCTTAGGTAGAGTCTTCTTCGTCTTCGTAACAGTTTCTCTGGCAACCATTAACTGGTTGTTCAAGGCTACTCCATTCATCGTGGACAATGACTCTGTCTTGTTATAGGTACATTTACTTGTAACCGTCAACAAACGCTGAATGGAAAAACAGAGTTACAGAGCAATAGTCTTGAACCACTAATTTGTACTCTATGAAAAATAAAACTTGGTTCCTCTTTCCAGCATGAATTCCTGGGACGTAGCAAGGCTAACTGTTCGTCTAGGTGATTATAATATCAAGACGAACACTGAGATCCGACACGTCGAACGACGAGTGAAACGAGTGGTTAGACACAGGGGTTTCAATGGCCGAACTCTTTATAACGACATCGCTCTGCTCACTCTTAACGAACCAGTTCCATTTACCCATCAGATACGACCTATTTGTCTCCCAAGTGGCTCGCAACTGTATTCCGGAAAGGTTGCTACCGTCATCGGTTGGGGCTCCTTGAGAGAAAGTAAGAGTTGAAGAATTGTGAAGCTTTGATTTCGTAAGAATGTCTTGTCAGATAAATTTGTGATACTGTTATCTAGGTGGACCACAACCGGCAATACTTCAAGAAGTTTCGATACCCATCTGGCCCAATAGTGAATGCAAGGTGAAATACGGTGCAGCAGCGCCTGGTGGTATCGTCGACAGCTTCTTATGCGCTGGCCGGGCTACAAAGGATTCTTGTTCAGTTTGTATCGTGACAGTTCATGATTATACGTGAATATTGATTGCGTTATTAATCGTATCTTCTGAATTGTAGGGTGACAGTGGTGGTCCTCTGATGGTGAACGATGGACGCTGGACGCAAGTAGGTATCGTTAGCTGGGGTATCGGATGTGGTAAAGGCCAGTATCCTGGTGTTTACACTAGAGTAACGCACTTCCTTCCCTGGATTTATAAGAACCTAAAGTAAACGATGCAACAGGGAACACGTTACTCCACCTGTTTAATAAAAAAAAGTATCTCATTTTGGTCGTTGTCACCGTCACATTAAACATCATGTGTTTTATACATGTAAAAATAACAGCATCCGTTTTCTATAGCTCCTTCTTATGCGATAAGATTCGCACGATTAAAGCGAATCGTGGTTGCTAAGTGATAGACCGACATCTTCATCTAGAGATAAGTGATCAGGCAAGAAATATAAATTGTAATAAAATATTTTATAGTATACTATCCATATACAATTATATAAAAAATAGTTTTACAATTTAACAATTCCTTCGTTATATTGCATTACTCCTGTCGCAAAGCAGGCAACATTTGGACTGTTTTCAATTAGATCATTGACGCTCCAGTTAATACTACGTGTCGCAGTTGCTCACGTTCAGATGTTGCATAATATTCCGTGCTAAAATAAATAATACGTTTAACGATTGAATAGAAAATATCCTGTATATTGTACGAGTTAGGGTACCTTGAAAATAACAAGTATCGTAGTTGTCGTCAGGTTGCGGAATAAAAGGTGGCACCGCTTTGATCGGTTCGTTCCAAGGGAACTCCTCGAAAAGTTTCATAGCTCTTACTTCCGTGGCAGAAGGCCGCTCATTTTGATCTAAAGTGAGCAGAGCGTCTATGGCTTGCGTAGCTGGTGCTGATAACGCTTCTTCGTCCTCTGGCCAAGGTACGTCCCTTGCCAGAATATTCGCAAATACAGCCTGCGGTGTTTCGTCGTTGAAAGGTGGAACACCGGTGGAAAATTCAAAGAGACATACACCCAAGGCCCACCAGTCTACTGCAGGACCATGGCCTTGCTTCAGAAGCAATTCTGGAGCTAAATAATCAGGTGTTCCAAGTATACGATCGTCCGACCGATTCGCTCCAGTTTGAGCACCCCTTCTTACCGATTTTGGGGTGCGATAAGGTGTATAACAGTTGCCTGAATTTGCTGGTGTCTTTATAGGTGATATATCATGAGGAGAACGATGTTCCTTTGAACTATCGTCCATAGGTACCTCAGGAGCTGAATTCGACTTGAGCGTGGGTGGAAGTTGAAATCTTGTAGTTTTGATCAAAGGCGCTGTTTCCTCTTCAGATTTCTCCTCCTTTTCTTCGCTATTACATCTCTGTTTCGTAGACGATACTGGCGTACTGAATGCAACTCTACCTCCCGACCCATTCTCCTGTCCTCCAGTTACATTGCTAACGTTACTCCCTGGTTTAATTGATTCAGAGATGCCAGAATTCATCGGACTTCTGGAAAATATAGAACCACGATTCTTTCTTTTTGGTGTTTTGTCAACGTCAAGATCCATCGCGCTTATTTCGCTCGTTAGACCAGTTGTTCCTGTTACGGTTCTCTTTCTTTTCGAACCCCTAGTAAGCGTGCTTATGCATGTACTCAGAGGACTCGTGTGAATAACGGGTTGCTGAGATTGTTCAGCTTCTAACGTCGATTCGTCTTCTTCCTCTTCGACTAGATTATGATTAAGCTGACTATTGACGCGAATCGAAGAAGCCTCACACGTGTGATAACTTCCTGAACTACTTTCTTCGTCATTTTCCACTATACAATTGTTCCCTGTATGTACTCCCAACTGAAGATCCTCGGCAGATTGGAAAGGAGTAATGCCAGATACGCGGGAGTAGTCGCCTGATGTAGTAGCAGAAGAATATAACGAATTAGGCGACGACTGCGTTCTTGTACAATTTCGTTGTAAAGCAGACAGTAAATTAACACCGGGTGTGCTTTTATCACTGAGACTGGATTCGCTTCTAGACCTCTGTCCAGAGCCAAAAGACAAATGGGAGGTCAGCGAGAGTAGTTGCCCAGGAGTTCTAGCGCAAAGGCTAGGAGTACAATTTACTAGATCAGATATCTCAAGGTCTCTGTGCAACGATATTTTACTAAGCCCAAAATCTGTGAGCTTAACGTGTCCCTCTTTTGACAAAAGCATGTTATCCGGCTTTAAATCTCTATGTACAATTCCATGAGAGTGAAGATATTCTAACGCAAGGCATACTTCTGCGGTATAAAAAGCTGCCATGGACTCTTCCATGTAACCATACACACCCAGCAAGCTCTTAAGATCTCCACCCACCATGTATTCCATTACTAAGTACACACTGCTAACAGATTGCAGTGAATAAAATAACTGAACACAATAAGCGCTATGCGTTAATGCCAATGCATTTCTCTCAATTATCACCTGTGAGGCCATGTTCTTATTTATCATTTCGTTTTTCTTCATCACCTTAATCGCATATAACATCTCAGGATTTGACCTTTTGTAACCAAGAAATACTTTACCAAATGCTCCACGACTTATAGGTTTCACAATTTTGAAATCTTGAATTTCTGGTACCTAAATGATAAGCACAGTATTAAGTAACAGTACAAGTAATTAAAAATGTAGTTTACTAATAATTTATCTACCTTTGTTGTAGGGTTAACAATCTTCGATATGGTATTAAATATGGAATTGTCGATTTGTTTGCTTGTTGACGATTGTTGCGGAGTACGCTCTCCAAATGGAATTTCACGTCCATTTTCTGAGTCATTATAGTTTGCGCAAACATTTTCATCGTCCGTCTCAGAGATTTGATTATTACCGTTTTGACATGTATTTGGCGAATTAATCGCCGCCTTTTCCATTTAAAAAAGTAACCTATCTAAGTCCGAGAGAGGAATTTACATAACACAACGTAAAATATCGAAACTCCGATTTATAAAATAATTCTGTGACTCAAAAAACATGAAGTTTTATTCATCGTTCTTTCATATTTTACGTTTTTCTCCCGTGTATTCAAATAAACTTTAACGGCTACCTGACATGTTTTAAAATCAACATGTATATATATATATGTACACAAGTATCAACAAGTATCAGAGTATCAGCATAGCAGTATGCTGCAAGTTCAAGATAGTTGAAAGTATCAGAACCACCAACTATAATCATTTTTTCACTAACAAACATTATGTAGTGTGAATCAAATATATTGAATAATCAGTCAAATTCTTGTAACAGTTACACAAACAATATGATTAAATTGATCATGCACATTTATAATTGACCCCTTTCTTCATAATACATTTTGTTTATAGGGATTTTCGTAATTATCATAAGGTTGCCCTGGAAGATTACGATTCCCGCCTTTGAATTTTTTGTGTGCAAAGCAGACCAACGTCTGTTATGTGGAATTGTTGGTTGTTGAAGAGCGTACCAAGTATTTACGTAAATGCGAATTTGTCACATCATTACAAGTTTTATTTTTTAACATTTGAACTTATTTCTAGTTGATTATTTTTTTATAAGCAGTGTACACTTCTGTATATATTACAAACTATACGTTTTCGTAACCTCACAATGTCGAGTAAGGTAGTAAAGAAACCACCTAAAAGAAAAGGTGCAAATGCGTATAAATTGCCAGATCCAATATCTGCTGGTGAGATATTAACAGATATTGCTAAACACCAATGGATTCTTGGCAAATCAATCGGTGTTGGAGGTTTTGGCGAAATTTATTCTGGTATGCACTTATTCTCATGATATCACACCTTGCTTTTATCCAATTTAGTTTCTATGTGTGAATAGTATTTCATATCTTCTAAGTTATATAATTCTTAATAGATAGAATAATCAGATAATTTTACTAATAATTACAGCTGCTCCTTACAGAGGAAAGAGTCCAAAAGAATATCCCTATGTAATTAAAATTGTGAGTATTTGAGATACTTTTTTTTATATTTCATTGTTTTGGTTGATGCCTTTTTAAAAATTACAAAATTATAGGAACCACATGGAAATGGACCATTGTTTGTAGAAATGCATTTTTATATGAGAAATGCCAAACCAGATGAAAGTGAGTTATTTCAATAATCCAGTTATAATTTTGTAAGAAAGAAAAGATTACTATATTACTTGTTTTAGTTGATAATTGGAGGAAGAAAAAGAAGCTCCCAGAGCTTGGCATGCCTCAATATATTGGCTCTGGAAGTCATGAATATAAAAATACAAAATACCGATTTGTAGTAATGAATCGGTATGGTACAGATTTATGGAAACTATTTGAAGCAAACAGTAGGAGATTTCCAGAACATACAGTATACAAAATAGCTTTACAAATAGTAAGAAGAAACACCTAAGCATTTCATTATTCAACACATGCAATGTTTTAAATATCTGAAATTAATTACATAATTTTAGATAAACATATTGGAATATATCCATCACAAAACATATGTCCATGCAGATATAAAGGGAGCAAATTTGTTACTAGATTTAACATCTGAGAATCAAGTTTATTTAGTAGATTTTGGGTTGGCTTCTCATTATTCTACTAAAAATGAATATAAACTAGATCCGAAAAAAGCGCATAATGGGACCATTGAATATACCAGTAGGGATGCTCATATGGGAGGTAAAGATTATTGATATTGAATAAAGTGATTAAATTGCTATTTATAAAATAAAACTCGCGACTTCTTAAATTGTAGTACCAACGATGCGTGGTGATTTCGAAATTTTGGGCTATAATATGATCCAATGGTTGTGTGGTTCACTATTATGGGAAAAAAACTTGTCTGATCCGGTTACAGTACAAAAGCAAAAAGAAAAAGCCTTTGAAAATATTTCCGAATTTTTAAACAAATGCTTTAACGGATCAGTTCCAAAACCAATACTTGAATATATGACCTTATTAGCGAGTATGAAATTCAATGATACTCCGAATTATGAAAAGTTTAAAAAGATAATATCTGATGGATTAAAACAACTGTCACATAAACCAGATGGAAAGTTAGAGTTTAAATCTGATGGAAATTCTCAGAAACAAATTGTAAAAACTACCCCACAGAGAATTAAGAAAACAGAAGATGTAATCAAGAGAAGTCCTCGTATACGAGCAAGGAAAAACCTAAGTCCTGTAAAGAGTCTTGATGATAGTACTGTAGGAATAATAATGGACAAAAAACGTGGTGGAGTTAAAGATATAAAACAAATATTGAATAACATTGAATCTGATGAAGAATATGATATTAAAATAGTTAAAAAAAAGAAAAAACCGAATGATTTTGTAAATAAATCTAAAGACGAAAAAATTGCGGTTAAAAACAGGAGAAGGATACAGAAAAATTATAATGATTCAATCTCAGATTCTGAACCAGAGGTAATGTATATATTTCCTTGTTCTTAACCCTTTGCGAACGGGACCGTCTGACGCGTGAGCGCCTGAAGGAGAGCTTTTCGGGCTGGCATACGCTAAAACTACCGCACATCCAGAACTGTAAAATTGTTTGGGCGACTGTGACCAGACATGCGTTCGCAAAGGGTTAATATCCCAACATGTGGTTCTGATAAAATTTTTACATTTAACTTCTGCATAGATTATATCAAAAGGAACAAGGTCAAGACCGATTGATCAAGAAGTAGCATCCAAAAAAACGAGAGCTAATCCACGAAAAGCGTTAATTCAAGACAGTGCTTCTGACGAAGACATATTTGATATGTAATTGTAAGTGAAACGTAAATAATTATTTCAACTGCGTTCATACGCGTTGAGTATTTGAATTTGGTAAAATTGTGTATATTATTGTATTTATATGAAAATACGCAAAATAGTGGTGGTTGTTACTACGTTAATCATGCAAAAGTAGTACTGTTTGCAAGTAAATTTCGTCTTTCGGCTCGGTAAACTTTGAAGAATGGATATATTTTAATACGTCTACACGTCGAGTAATTGTACAAAATGTGTAAGGTTAGTAAATTACAATGTAGAGTGCTGACTGTTGAGCAGTATTAATTTTCTATATTTGTATGAAAATAAAAACTACCTTATCATTATTAATAGTGACGAGAAATTTAAACTTTTAAATGAACTATTACTATAAAGATTTTTATCGGTATATGATTTTGTATAAGTAAATAACTATATACATATAAATACGTTTGTTTATTAACAATATTTGAAAGCTGCATTCCAACTATTTACTTTTTCAGTTTTTGTATTTGTGGAGCACTTATTTTAACTTTTCCAGGAATATTTCTAGCTACCAATTCTTCTTTAACAGCTTTTAACAAGTCTTTTTCTCTTGAAGTAATCTCTTTATCTTTCATAAATACTGCCACGGCAGTTTTAGCTGCTTTCCCTCTTTTGCCGGTTCCCGGTGTTAACTTTACTTTAAATCTAAAACAAAACAATATGTCGTAGAAATCATACATAATGAACCCAAATTACAATAAAATAGCGCATAGTATCCTTACTTGTAATTTAATAATGTATTGTAAGGAGCTATTACTGGTACTGCAAATAACAATTCGTCTTCTGTAACAGGTTTTCCTGTTAATTGATCCAACATATCTACTTCCGGTCCCGGACCAGTATCTTCTTCTTCAATGTTGTCTACAACTTGAGAATTTTGTGGTTGAACTGGTTTTGATGCACCCTTTTTCTTTGTTGGTTGCTTTGGTCCAGATGGATCTTTATTCCTATTTTTTTTCTTGTCTTCTTTTGCAGCACCTGCTGACTAATTAATATTGTATTAGTATAATATAAGCTTTGTAATCACATAAATATTATAAGCGAGTGGTGGAAGATATTTACTTGAAGAACTTGCATAGACAACCTTCTGTCTTCTTCATCTTGATCTTTATATTTCCCTTTCATCTTTTTCAATCTTCCTTTTTGTCCACGTTTTAATACTACTTGGCCATCCTTTTTAGTCTCTGCTTCAGTCGTTTCTTCTTTATTTTCGTTTTTAGAAGGATTGTGTATCGAACTCTTTACCTTGGCGGTAGTTTTTATTATTACAGGCTTATCATCTCCTAAATAAACCACATGATGTAAATCCTTTTGCACCGTAGCTGATGTTTGATTATTGTCAATGTGCAATTTTACCCTATAATGTAAAACCTCGTCAGTTCATACTACGTTTATAATATATAAATTATATAACATACTTTGGACCAGAAACATCTATTTTAATTTGAGTATCAGGAAATTTAGATCTATTATCATCTTCATCGCTAGAATCTTGATTAACATCATTCTCTTTCATAATTAAATCTGCTTTAGATTCTTCTTGAATCGGATCTAAACTATCTTTCTTCTCAGGCTGTTCATCTATTTTATTACGAAATATGTATTAGGAATCTGTTGGTTAATTAAGATACCTTTATAATTGATATTTTACCTTCATCAGAATCCCCTATTAATTCTATTTCTCGATCATCTTCAACTAATGCTTCTGCAGGTTCACTTTCATCATCTATAACTCTGACTCTTCTTTCATCCTTGTGTCTTTCAATTGAACTGTCTTCTAATCGGAATAAGAATCCTAATCCCATAACCAATTGGCACGGTGGTAAATAATTCTTTTTTCCACGAATCATAAACGATCCAGTAGTAAGATACTCGCCAGTTGGAGCCGTCTTGGACACTTGATCGTTATTTACCCACCATGCTCCCGCTACTACTTTAGCTTCCCATGCAATACTAATATTACAATTATCATATTTTTATCGTATGAAGGATCATTTTAAAATATAAATGTTTAAGTACCTGTAAGCAACAGCCATTGTGCCAGCTTCAGCTAACGTTTTTGGTGGTACCGGTCCACCACCTGGGTTTTTAATTACTACAGAACTAGCACCAGTTAAATCGGCATGAACGTATATATCTCCAGATTTGAGATACCTTTTTACAATTAATTCGTTCTGCTGTTGATCTCTTCCACCAATTACTGTACAATTGTACAATTATTGATGTATCATTATAAAAATATAATGTTTTAAGTAACTTACCCAGGTAATTTTCCGAGCTAATAAACCAATAGAATTTTTCGAACCAATATATTTTCCTTAATTTATTGATACTGTGAATAGCTTGTACTTCTTTCAATGTTTGTTTCGTTTTCTTCTCTGCTGACTTTAAAGCTTTATCTTGAGACTCTATTGTTTTTTGCTGTTTTTTAGCTGCCGACCTCTTTTGATTATAATATTTTCTAGCATTTCCAAAAGCTGTGTGTGCTAGATCAATATCAATCAACATAGGCTTCAACTCCGATTCTTCATCACTATCTTGATAAGGATCATGTAACAACAGAGAAATATGGTTTGTGTCTAGTTTCAATTGTTTAATTGCAGATGCAACAGGATCTCCTCTACTCTCTGCCTCCTTTAAGAGAATTTTTATATCTGGCCAAGCCATTTGATTTGCAAGGGCACTTTGTATAGCTAATATAGCATTGTCCACTAACATTTGATTTCGGGAAATTAATTCTGCTTTTTGTTTGTCTATTTCCTGAGTTTTCTCTAGTGATATTAATCTCTGGTCATGATCTTTCTTTACATTATCCAATTTCTTAAGAGCTTCGCGTTCCTGTTGCAAAACTTTTAAATCTAACTTTTGACCTTCCATTGTAGAGAAATATTCATCTATCGTGACATCGAAGGAATCGAATTCTTTAAATGGAAAATCTTTATGCTGTTCAAATAAAAAGGGGTGGAATTCAATGTTGGCATATATAAAATCCTCTTTGCCATCTGGTGTTAGTTTTGATTCTTTCTTTTGTATAATATATCCTTTAGAGACATTTTTCCGAGCAAAGTCCATCATTTCATCTGCACAATTTAATGCTGAAATTAAATTCGGCATGTGTTCTACAATATTGAAATCTTTGCCTATTTTGCAGCCAACTGTAAATCCATGTTTTAACAAAACATGATCAATTACGGCAGAACCAAATTCTAGAAGTGGATTTAATACTTTCTTCAAACTTTCTCCTGCTTTAGCATTCTGAAGACGATTTTGAATTTCTTCCATGGGTGGCATTGTATTTTGATGAGCTCTATTCACAGGATACTTCTCCTTAACAGCAAACCTAATCATCATATTATGTAATATTTTTGTATCCCTTTACAATTATGTGTTTCTAATGTTTAATTTATATTTCAGTTTACCTAATTTTATCCCCTTCTGTATGAGGCCTTAATATATTTAAAATGGTCATTTCATAATCTGTCAAAACTATGTTACCACGATCGTACAGTTCTAAGATTACATGATATGCTGCTTCACCACTTCCAAACTGTAGATCTATTATTCGATCCACTCCTACTTGAGTAAGGCTTTCAAGTCTTTTATTTTTAAGATGTTTGCGCATCTATGAAGATAATAAATATTTCATTAAATTCAACTTAAAATGTGAAGTATAAAACATAGACACAATAATTATATGACATACTTTCATAGAAAATCCGGATGGTGCTACATTTTTTGGCCATTCAAATGCTGTTGTATGAATTCTATTGCCAGATTCCAGCAAAAGAACACGTTTTTCTTCGCTTCGTTGCAAACGTATAAGGTATGTTCGATGATCAATGTCATAAATTTGATTTACGCGCATACCAATTAGTCTGGAAATAAGAGTTATGAATGCATATGATCGTACTCGAATAATCAGTACTGCTTAACACTTCTTTAAATGATTAAAACATTATAATTGTGCTTATGTTGTAACCTTTAAAGAAAGATAACAGTAGTACTGTATATTTCAACATTTACTTACTGCTGTAGTTCAGTTACAGTGCAAACAATATCGTAGGAATTAAATCGGGTCTTCATTTTTGTACAAGTGTTATTTATTAATATTTATGACTTAAATTATTAGAAAATTACAACCTTATTGAACAGATATCTAAATGTTCACTGTATATCTTTACTATAGAGAATATGTGTATATTAAGTGGACTTTGGTAACTGATCGCTAGTGAGATCTTACAATGGACCATAACATTAACAAGGGAAAATTAAGAAGGTTTCTGCATTGGTAAAAGATATGCTGCAGTAAAATATAGGTTTCGTGAGGATCCAACTAGGACACTTTTTCTATATATTCGAGATCGTAGAATCATTTGGTAGCCTCGGAAAAGCGCAAAAGTTCCTTATTTTGTCAAAAAACGTAATTTTTCGTACTTCGTTAGTACTACCTTCTCGCCGCTAGATGGACGCCAATTTCTTGGTCCATGAAATGCCTATTTTTCTTATTTTCTTAATTAGAGCTTTAAGCTAACTATGAGGATATTTTTCCTATGTATTAGAGGTCGTAGAATCATTTAGTAGCTTCGGAAAAGCTGAAAAGCTCCATATTTTGTCAAAAAACGAAATTTTCTATTTTGTTAGTTCCTATGTCCACGGTTAGATGGCGCCACCTATGCCTTTCAACGCCAGGGTAGGTTTTTTAAATAAAAATCATGTTAAAATTAAGTTTTTATAACATTTTCAATTTATTAACTTAATTATTTTTCAAAAACTCTTCTATTAACACAAATTAAACCATTACAATCCTTTAATTTACAGTCTAAACTTAAAAAAAGAAAATAGCATTACCGACGCAGATATGCCATAAGTGCCATTTTACGGTACTTTTATGTCATAAAATCATGCGAATTGTTTTCGACGAACAATTTATAAATTTTTACGATTGATGCTTAATCTACACACTCGCAGCAACTTTCACATATAGGTTTTGTAAGGATCTAACCAGTAATTAATTATAAATAGTTATAGGATCGACGCAACAGGTCGAACTTACATCTTATTGTATTTATTTGCCACATTCTGAGGTAACTATTTTAGTGATCTATTGAAATTATACACTGACCATCGTATCTGATATCGAACAATCAAGAGAAAAAAATAAAATGAAACAAACCCTGCAGCAGTACGTACAGGTGCACCTTTGATTTATAACGTTTCTCGCCATATCACCTTATGGAATTTCATTTGTAACGTTACACAGAGCGAATACGTCAGTCTCTGTACTAAACAGTGCAACGTGTATGTACACTACCTCTTGTAGCAGCTGTATACAGTTCGCATCCGCATCGGTGCACCACCGAATAGTTTCGCAAAATTAAATCAGAGTCGCAAGCACGGCCCGAATTTCATAATCATTTTATAATATTCGGCTTCTGGTAATTTTCATCCTCGCAATTTTTATCATTTTCCAAAAAATAATGGTGTACTGTTGTAGTTTAGGACTTAGAGTAGTTTATCCTAATCCTGATCCTTTAGGATCCGATGTACGGTTGATCGGTTAACACTACAATGAAACAGAAATTATGTATATTAAAAGAAGAATTATATTTTCATATTAAAATTATTATAATTACTTACTTGGTGCGTCGGCTGATCTCGCGTATGCTGGCGGTGTTGTCTCGTTCAAATTCTGCAAGAACTCGCTCTTCCTGTAACGCAGAAGAACGGGTGGAGTAGCCGGTATTTCTTCTCTCTGGCATCAGCGAGCCGGTGGTGTAGGCCCGTGCAGCCAGGCTTCGGAAGCAGTGAGCACTCGGTGCATTCGCGGTGACACCGCAGGTCTCGCGGTACCGCTCGGCAGCGAGTTCCGCGTTACCGTTGCACTGTCCGTAAATGTAAAGCATGTTGTAATATTCCGACGGTGAACGCAACATGGTGTTTTCAGTTTGGTCTTCACTTGTCTCTCTATGCTTGCCGATTTGCTTCTGTCTTCTTTTCGAATTTGTCTTAGCATGCTACCTTTGGGAGGGGGAACAGAGGCTCTGCATGTTTGGGGGTGGTCTTGGCAACTATGGGTTTCTCCAGATTTGCCATGTGGTGACTCGTTGCCGCTGAAACCGTTAGGTTTCGAGGCCTAGCCACCTTTTTGATACCGCGAGGCGAGGTATATGACAGGTTCGAGTTAAGGATTACTGTACCCTGTCATAAACCTCGCTTGGCTAAAACTCTAATAAGGTCTTTTATAGGGAGTTTATGAATGTACTAGTATAGTACTAGTTTATAAAAATACCACAGCACAGCCTTCTCTAGTACTAGCCGTGCTGAAGTAAAAATGGCAACAATGCGGGAGTCCGGTCTGAATATATCAACACCTACCCTACTCTATCTGCCTCCCGGACCCCAGACTCCCAGCCAATCAACGTCGTCAGACTCCCGGCTACTCTCTGGACTTCACATAACCTCTTTGGTTTCGTTCCAATAATTTCGCTTCTTTCAAGGTTTTTATTAACTTATATACACGTTTATCAATTCTTAAATGTTTCAATTTGATCCAAAGATGGTTTCACTTTGCTTCATACCTAAATTTTCTTGAAACCATTGTAAATATTTCAAATATCATGCTTCACAACACCAAACTACTTCGAGAGTAGTACATCACTTCCATTTGCCATAGTTGCAACGTTTAAGTATATATTATTTATACATAATTAACGCAAAATAGTGTATATTACTACAGCTTTTAATTAAAAAAGACGTTAATTACAATTCCGAGCACAGGACTCTGTTTTTGAAAATAGGACTCCGTATTGTCACGTGAGCGGTGTTGCCACGTAGCTAGTACTAGAGTCGGCTGTGAAAGTACTAATAAAAAAAGGCCTGAATGTCTGTAGTCAGTGAAGAATAACTATCTATTTCATATCTTGAAAAAAAATATATTCCTGGCAATCTGGAAGGACTTAATCATTCAAAATATTAATGTTAAATTATTTTTCGGCTCTGCAGAGCTCTGTATACTACATACCAGGTATACAGTACAGAACCTTCGTGCGGTCCTGAGATCATGCATGAAATTGCGAGCCGTCGATCAAAATTAGCTGATAAGAGGTAAACGCTTCTCAGAAGATGCGGGTGTACATAGGTGTGAAATTCCATCGGGAAAGCGTTGACGGAACGCACAATACAAGGCTCTGTTAAACGCAGTAGGTGTGTTTTGAAAAGCCGTCAGCTAGGAGTGATCGAGTAGTTGAAGCGACCGGTTCGGTGTCAACTGCAGGTGTCTCGTTAATTGTCCTTCAGCTATTCCGTCCTTGCCCCGCTCGATGACGTTTAAATCGATGTTTCGTGTTTTCAATTAGAAAACCCCGCGAAACGTGAACCGAAATGGTATTCCAAGGAGGACGGTCGATATTTCTCGGGAACTCCATTGCGGACTGTTAGATTTCTTTATTTTAATTCATCTTTTTTATCCGAATTCGATGCTTCAATCGCACAGGATTCTCACCTGGCAACGACTCTTCCTGAATTCCTAACGAGACTGGTTTCTGACGAAACCATTGTGTCAGCTTAAATCGACGTCCGAGCGATGTTTTACCTTAAATCACCATCGTCGACCGGACGGCTGAAAAGGGAAAAGCGCAAAAAAGATACAGAGACGGAATCAGGAGCGAGTTTCAGTCTGTTTTTAATGAATTTTAATCAGTCACTGGAAACGTTGGAGAAAATAAGACGCGGTTGGAAATTGCACTTTTGAATCCAAGTTCCGGAGCGAAATTAATATCGGTACATTTTGTTGGCATTTCGTTACGTTGAGTAAACAATCGCGTCCCGTAAACATCTGTTTTCCGCTAAAAAACGAGCCCGTTTCTTTCCATACCCCGTTTCGCGTTCGTGAATCTCGCGGAAATTTAAAAACGATAAACATCACCGCGAATGCGTATTCGCAACGGATAAGGATCGAGAAATATTGAACAGAGTAAAGTTATACGATTTGTTTTGTTTCGTTTTATTTTTTACCAGGGAAAATGCGCTTTTTTCCCTGTTCGATAGATTTTTATCGGTCGCGAATGCGTGCGGCATAAAAATCCCGAAAACAACTAACTTTATGAGCAAAAGTTTTCCTATATCGGAACGTTAACACGACGCGGGAATTGATGTATCGCTTTAAAAAATTTGTTTTTCATCGAGAAACCACGAGTACGTTTTTTTTCACCGTCGATGCGTTTATGGTGTGTTAAAAGGAATAAAATATGCAATATTGATTGGATTGACAACTATATTTTCAATTTTCAAATTTCTACATTTTCTACTTTCAGATTTGGTAGTTGGATGGAGGAGACGATGTATCATGAGACATTGAAGGTGTTCGTCAAGGCGATAAGTTGAAAGAAACGAAGAGAGTAAGGGAGAAGAGGGATGAAGATTCGCGAGACACACCATCGTTGGGACAAAAGAATTGATCCTCTCCTTCTCTTTTTCCTTAACCACCTCCACCGTCTTCTTCCTTTTTCTCTTCTTATCATTTTCTCTCTTCCGCGCTACCTTTTCTCCTCGTTTAACCATCGAAACCTTTCCCTTCGCAATCTCGCGACAAGATCAGACTGATTGCTCGACTTCTCACCCGAACCATTCCTTCGGACGACAAGAAAAAAGAAGAACTGCTCCTTTGATCTCGGCTGACCGACGAGCAAGAAATTCGTTTGCAGTTTTTCCTGGGAAAATCATTTGTCGTGGCTTGCTTTCCCTTGTTACGCGGTTGAATTTCTTGCTGAAACGATCGAGAAAAAAAGAGGACTTAAATTTTCTTTATCTTATGTACCCGATTACTTCTTCGTACTAGCAAACTTTTTCCGTAGTTGCTGTTAACTCAATTAATTTTTCTTTTAATCCGTACAGAACGGGCATCCGTAATCTTACGTTTGTATTTTCAGTTCGCTGAGGCAGCAACGTTAATCGGGAATCGGACGATTTGGCGGGCAGCTGGTGTGGAAAAACAGAAGGGTGGAAACAACGAAGGTCCCGTAATGGACTTTGCGGGTGTCGATGGTGGACGGTGTTAATTGCAGCGCCTCAGCTAATGGCTCTAAACGTCCGCAAACGCTTCGGAGACTCGACTTTCCCGCCTCCTGTCCACCGTGGAATCCAGCCTTTTAAATCGACCCTACTTGCTTCCTCGGGTTTTATCCGGCTCTCGAGGCCCCGGCATTCTCTTTTGCTTCATTTATTTGCCAGCTTCTCAACACGGGACCCGGTACACTTTGCTTACTTGCAATTTGATCCTTCGAACAGATTTTGTAACAAGATTCAACATTGAAACTGTAATTGTAATCTTATCATTCCATAGTTTCAACCTATAACGATAAAACGCAACGTATCTTCGTTAGGATTCCTGTGCATGGACCAACGTTTCAAGGGGTCTCGTTAACACCATCACTGGAAATTGCTAGTTGCACGACACGAAGTGCGCCCGAGTAATTGCATCGTCGCCGGAATTGCGACAGACGTTCTGGTCCACTCTTTGAGCATCCCCGAAGTTAGATGGGTCGTTAGTCGGAGGTTGAGTAACCGGAAGTTAGCCGACCCGGTAAGACGGAGCAAGTTCGGTAAGCGAGCTACTTCTTTGTTCCAACCCTGTTGCCTCCTACATACACCCTCGTTCGCTCCATTTAACGCATCGTTGGACCCCGTTAACGCGTTTAAAGAGAGCACAAATGCAATCCCTCCATCGATACTCTTGTCTTTCCTAATAGCTTCTCCTTCTGTACGTTCGTTCCATCCGATACCGATTCACCGTAACTGCTATTACGTTTGCAACTATTTATTCGAAGACCGTTTCAATTCTATCGCCAAAGGGTGGGTTTTTTAAGGAATGTTTTAGATAGAATTTGTATTCTTGTATACGAAAGAAAACACGCGATCGGAAATAAAATTAGATTAAAATTCAAATTTGAAAAATCGTTTGAATATATTTTGGTGGGGCGGTGATGGTTAGGGTGAAACTTTTCTATTTAGTTCGAAACCCTCGGGCCGAGAGGGCTTCTCTTCCGGTTTCGTGGCTTCTTTGCATTTAATGAGGTTCCACTGAATATTCAGAAACACCGCGACTCGCACTTTCGTACATGCGTCGTAGGATTTTAGTTTCAAAAGAACCTTAATTACCCTACTTCGTCGAGGAACAACGAGACGAAAGAATAATAAATCCTGACGAGTAACTTTCAAACGAATGATAAACGAGCCACGTCTCTTGGCACGGTGTATGTTTCTCTTTCCTCTATGTTTTCTTTCCTTCGAGGGGAAAAAAAGCACAAGGGGACGGATACATCGTTTACTTTCCAGTTTTACGCTCTTGGCGGATATATTCGTCCCGGGTGTAACCGGGTACACGTTCCGAAAGTTGGACGGATCGTCTAGACATAGGGTCGGAATAAGCCGGAAGTTGTGGATAGCGGGGTTGCCGCGATAGGAGAAGTTACGTAGCAGCAAAGTAACTTCGTCCCATCCTGGCCACCTCGTTTAATACACACAGACACAAACACACACACGCGCCCCCTGTGTGCTGATGTATAATTAGTTTCGTCCAATCCCGTTCTTTGACCTGTTTCAACCTAAATAACTGTATAACTCGAACTCGTTTGTAGTCAACTCCTAATATATGTTTTCCATATATTATCGGGAAATTGTTCAAAATCATAATCAAATACCTAGATAACTTATATTGAAATTAATAATAATTGTGAGTTTAGAATTAGCCATTGGAAGTTTGCAAACATTCCTAGCGAGCCGATAGAGACTTTGGGGCTTGATTAATTAATTAAAATTAAATGTCCATATTCTACTAGGAAAATTCGAGCAAAATACAAGACAACATCACCGAAATATCATAGGTACGTTTAATAATTTATACGTTAATAATTTCACTGATACAGGAATAAATTCGTGTGACGCGGTAGTCTTAAGGGGATCTAACCAACTAGTAGTATCGGTCGACGCTTGGTCGGACGGTAGATTACCGCGCGCGCGTAGACGGACAATTAGAAGGTGGGAAGCAACCAGTTGCTAATGACACGCTAATGATGGCCTGTATTAATTAAATTGCATTGTGAAACACGGTCACTGAACGCGTTCGTTGATGTACTTGACTTCACGGTGGTACAATAATAACAGTCGTGGCGATAATTGGTGGATGCTTTTGGTTTGGCGGCTGTTCTGCGGTGGCACAACGTGCCTGGCATAGAAATGAATTCGTCCCCGTTATAGCTTCGCCTGCTACCGAGATTCGTCAGTATTGCAATGCGGTGCTCTCGTTAGTAAAGATATATTGGAGTTGTACATTGAATTCATCGATCGTCGTTAATGATTTTCGATTATCAATAGTCAGACCTACTCTTTCCGGCGAATAGATATTTTCAGTTGAAAAAACAGAGTTAATAAAATTTTACGTTATTGATTTTAATGAAATTTTCAGCTCCAAATTGATATACCATAAATGCTATTTAGGGATGTTTTTGTGTCATCAAACCCTGCCAGGATATATATGGATATCTATTAATGGACATCATTAACCATAAATTGATTGATACATTGTTTGTTTCAATGCGAAATTAATAATGCTACATCAAGGATACTAATAAAACATTTATGTGGTTATCATCAGCAAACTCTGAATTCCATAGATGCTAAACTGCGGTGTTTTTATTATGTCATCAAATCGTACCAGGTTTTAGGTTCTGAAATCAGTCATTCGATATGTAACAAGCTAATATTTTCATAGATAACAGAGATCCATTTCGAAATAGAAAAATATTGTCGCGCGATTGAAAGTTTCGGAAAAAAAATAAAATTTCGACTGTATGAATCATTCGGATGGGGTGAATGAATCGAATTAATTTCCCTCGTACAACAATAATGGGTAATCGATTAATTCTACACACGAGGATACTCCTTTAATCGCTTTATAATCGTATAATAACTGTCTCACTCCGGTCGCGTGTCACGCAAACAGAATTTATTGAAATTCGTCGGTTGCCCATTGTTCAACCATTATCATGACCGCAATAGGTGTTACTGTTTCTGTTAAACCTTCGACATTGTTTTAACATCCACGATATCCATTTGTGCATACCGTATGATCTTCGATTAAACGTGGACAAAAGTTTCATCTTGCCTTCAATCGCTTTTAATTGGTTCAATTAAATGTTATTTCCTACTATTAATTTCTGTATCCATCGACTGTTTATATTAATTAATTACATAATAACTTTAGAATTTCATATCATTAAAACGGTATTTCATTAAAAGGAAATGGTTTATACAATATTGTACCTCTTTAATTTGAAGTTAAATTCTCTATTGAACGTTTCTGTATTCTATTTGGTATCCGTTCCCGGGATATTTTCCATTTCGTTCGTAAGAACAATAAATCAATGTTATTGCCTTTGTCGTCCACGAAATATATTACGTTAGGAGATCCCTCGGTTGTTTTATTTCCTACAGGCGTATGAGCTACCTGTCTGTTTTGTTCGCCGCTCTCCATCAATCTGTTCTTTCATTCCGCTCTTCCTGTACGAGGATTTTGAATATAACAGGGTCGTCTCGTCGCTTCGATATTAGTTCAGATTTCCGTTTCTTGTCGAATCTCCTCCTCGTGGCCAGGCCACAATTTATGGTCAAAGTTTTCGTGGAAATGCCAGGAAAATTGGAATTTCTGGGCTATTATCCTTCCTTCATCTTCCGCCTCGTCCTTTTTATCGCGGTAACCTCGATGAGAAACCGGGTTACGACGAAAAAGGTATTTCATTTACCACAAATCAGTGTTTAACAACGAAATCGTCGATTCTCTGATAATAGGTTGAGTTTCGAAATTTATATTTTGTTCCAACTGTACCGTTTATAAAATCGCACGAAACACGGATACGAACTCGTTGAACAAAGTTTCTTTAATTTAATAGCAGCGGTTTCGAAGCTCAAAGCTCGTCCGTTAATAATTACAGTTAATCACTTTTTAATTTTAAACGTTTTATGATGGAAAAGAACGTCGTCGACGTTTGATGACCAGTAGTACGATAAACCGCGGTAATTTGAATCAAAGCTGTTTTATGTGCAGAAATAAAGTAATATCTCGTTTCAAACAGTTCTTTGTTTTTAGACCCAATAACATTTTATAACGTTACAGTTAACAAAATAAAGTAAAAAGAATTATTTTCATAGTTAGTTAAATAACAAACGTCAAAGTCTGGTTTTAATAGAGAAATTTCGGTGATTATTCAAAAATACATAGATATTTCCAGTTATCAATAAACGAAAAACTGTTTCGTATGTATATTTTCAAACAAACAAATAAAAAAAAGGATTTTTATAGTTAGTTAAATAATAGATTATTTGAACTACAAGTCAGGTTTGAATAGAGAAAACACGCTATTGGTCGAACGAAGAGGAGCCTATGAGGAGATAGAGAAAGAGCGACAGCTAGAGAGGGAATTTGTGATTGGTCGGCGTGGGGAGAGAGGTGGTGGGCGCACGCGAAACTTACGGAGACCTGTCAGTACGCGTTCGACCGTCACGCTGTTGCTACTGTGCGGACGTGTTTTCCTCTCGTTCGTACGTGATCGTGATATTCTTGGTTATTGTTCACGTGTGCGCGAATATTCATACTGTTTGAAGCAGTTCACCTCGCAGTGGAGAATGAAGTGATCCAGCTTGAACGTGCCACGGGGTGCATTCTCAAAAAACAGAAGCATGGATCAACGAGGTGTCTTCTTCGCTTCGATCGTTTGCTTGCTGATTGCCTTGGCTGTCGCCTCCGGTAAGTCATTTATACTTCGATGCATGCTCGAAATTGAAACGAATCAACATGAAAATTTGTTTAATGTCAAACACATGTTTGGTTATCACGAGTGCATTCTACGCGGCAAATTCGAACACGTTCTCTCTAAGCAACATGATTCGCGGTTGACGTTAGGCAAGGAACCAATCACAGACAGGTTCATACGTGTCATATTCCTAAGCTAAATAGCATCAACTTCAGAGCGTAGTAGAGCGTTCGGCTTCGAATCACAACAATACAAAAGTGTGTTTTGTTTCCGTTTATTAAACCGGGTTTTCCAACTTGTCACTCGATCACTGAATAGAAGCTCGAGCTGCAATTCAAATGTTTTTGTTCCAACGTTTCGCGTAACCGTAGTAGGGTGAATTTTAAACTATACAGTTAAGAATTATTGTTCTCCGGAGCAAACTTTATACATATTTAACGATGATTTGTGCAAGCTCAGAGCTATCAAAAGTTGTACGCCACGTAACCTCGCTTACATTCGAAACATTTTGTTCTCTCGTTACCGGTCGACGTACATATAATCACGCCATTATGGTTGCCCAGATATTCATAACAGCGTTCGTGTATTTTAATTCGACCGGTCAGATGTTTCCTTGCCGAGTGAATGGAATACGAAAGTACTTGCGAGCTTCGAGAGGGAAGTGAACCCTCGGCTCGCGATACATATATAGGGTGATCCAAAATAAAGGCGCAATTTATTTTTTCAAAGAAGGGACAAATTTTCATATTTTATAATGCAACTAGATATTCCAATAATTTAATTATTCAACGTTTGACGATCTTAGTACACTTTCATACCGAAGAAGACTTTTCGCCCTCGTCATGTAAACGGTTACTTTCTGAAGGTGTATATTTCACAGTTAAGGGGTTAACTGGTGATGTATGTAGTCCTCTTTCCGCTCGGTTTCTTTCATTGTCGACGGCTACCCTTCGCGTAAACTCACAAAGAGGCCTGCACGGGACGCGTAATTCCTTCGACAAAGAGGGTAGCGAGCTCTCTTTGCGACTTGGCTACACCCCCACGTGCAACGACTTACTCTCTCGAGCTGCATACGTTGGATTTAACGAACCGACCTGCTGTTCAACCCTCACCCCTTCTAGATAATTATCGAGCCGGTCTTCTCACGTCTATGGGTGAACCACTATCGTTCATCCCCTTCCTTCTTATAGCTCCTTGTTTCTTTTCTCTCCTGTAGATGATAGGGGTACAGTTCCGTGTTTCACCGCCCCCAAAATAAGAAAGGTATTCTGAAAGGTATCGACAAGCCCTGACGACTAAGCCTAGTCTCAGGTTGCGCACCTAACCTAATTAATTAAATCGAGAGAGGAAATGCGATTGAGCTTTGTGTGGTTGTCTTCGGAAAAAAATTCAACCGGTTATAACTTTTTCATTATTCGTTCGCGCAACCTGGGACTAGGCTCATTCAATAAGACTCGTCGAGATCTATCAGGGTAGATATCCTCATTTTGGTTATACGGGCGGTGAAACATGGAACTGCAGCCGATGATAGTCCTCTATAATTTTACTTTTATTTATTTATATATATTTTTTTTTTAATTTACCAAATGCAATTCGAAGCTCTTGGACCTTAGTCCGCAAGAAAATGTAAAATTAGAAAATTCTTTGTCATACATTTGACTATCGTTAATATAAGCGAGGTAGAAAGAGGAGGATGCAAAAGAGCCGTATTTTTAGGAGATACTTGGACAACGTCAGAGTTTCGTGAACAACAGAGCTCGTTATCAGTCTCTCAAGTCGCGGAGTACCCTTCGTTAACGCAGTAAAGTAGAAACCGTGAGCAAAAGCGAGGGAGAATTTTTTGGATACCCGTTTGACCCGAAAATATCCTCCGGTCAGTAGAATAAATTTGCATTTTTCTACACAGCATCGCGCCCTTACAACGCTCGGACATGTTTCGTTGCTTTTCAAACGGGATTAAGGTTAAAGTGTTCGCCGAGAACCGGAGGGTCTGTTGTCCCATTTGTCGCGGCGAAAAAGCTTTTCGTTACTTTCCACCGAATAAAAGTGGCAAATCCTATGACGAGAGGCAGCCGGTCGTTCGTAGGTCGACAAATTGGGTCAACTAAATTCCCATCCACCCACGCTTTCCACTTTGTTCAAGTTTCACCGGGTGCATCGGCCAATATTGTAAATGAAGCATTCTGGGAATGCAACCGGGGCTGGGAATTCGAATAATTTTCGAATACGATGAAGATGAATTCGAGAGTGACGGATAATTTTTCATTCATACACTTCGGTTCAGTTTCATTATAAAATTATGATAAGCAAGTATCTCTAAAAATGTGTCCCGCAAAGTTTCTAGAGAGATTCTTCCACGAAAATGTCGCCGTGAAGCTCTTTAATTGCTTGATTGAATAGTTTGATAGTTCATTAACTTGAACATGACTGCGAATACTAGGAAACGGTGTTCGTTTACCGGAAGTAGATGAGTTTAATGAGCCAACGGGGATTCTTGGAACAGTTAATTATCAATCTTGTACAAGAACAAGAGAGAGGAAAATGAAGTGATATATAGAGAGAACTAGGCAATTTTGATTTTCCTTATGTCAAGAACGTTTTATTGTTAAATTATAAACAATTTTCTAAAGTTAATTTTAACACTAGAACTACCGACGTTTTTATATTATATTTCTAAACATTTTAATAAAAATACCCTGATCAAAATAAAATAAAACAAGAAATTTCTTGACTAGTTTGGTAGTTCTAGTATTAAAGAAAAATATAAACAATTTTATAGATTCTGAAATATTTTATCGTCTATGCAGACGAAAGCAAAGATTTGTTTTTCAAGTATTCCGCGACTGGGTCAGCTTGTTTACTTAGAATTTAATTACTTCGACGGCAGATGTAAATCATGATCGCGGACGAGCGACGTAGCGATATTGGCTGTCATGGAAATTTGTAGCTTCCGCGAATTTCCCCGAAGGTCTGGCAGCAGATCGTTTCCGATATTAATTAAGATTCGTATTAAGCCGGTCTAGACGCCCCGGATATTGCTTCCTATTGCTTCCTTCTCTAATGCACATTCTCGGTACGTTTGCGCGCTTTGCTTCTTCCCTAACAAATATCTCCATTTGCATGTGTTTATCGGTGGCTTATTGCTTTCTGATCAGGTACTAATGCGCTTCTCCTCTGCGCTGCGTTATCTATCACAAAGATAATAAAGATAATTAATCATCGCTTAGAAAGACGAGCTAGAATCTGAATGCAACAAAAGTTAGTTTCTTATCGGATAGTCAGTCGATTGGCTAATGAAACGCATTCGTACAATTGATCCCTGTTGATCGGATTATCAGCTCGACAGACGATTTCGTGATAGACGACACCGGGTTATTTCTTGCTCGCGTTCTTTGGAAATAAATCGATCGTCGAGAGAAAAAACTCGATCGTCCATTCGCGTTAGTTGGATTGCACGTCGGCCTGGTCGTCGACGGTAGCGCAAATATTTGCAAACGCGTCGAATTGAAAACCATTCTTCTATATTTTACTCCTCTCTCGTGTTCTATCGCGATTCTCCGTATTTCACGTTCTATGCAATGTTGTTTCTTGTCGCGACACCAATCGCAACCCATGTTTCTTTATTTTATTTAACTATATTCTTGACCGAGGTGTCGTCGTTAAAAAGCACAGGTTTCGCAAATAATAAATAACATTATTCATGTTTTATTTGATCGTTCAATTATTTGAGGTGTGCGCATATAAATTTTCGCGAAAATCGTTTAAAATTTTCTGATGGAAAATACGTTGATTTTTAACGTATCGATTAAGCAAATTGAATTGATGATATCAATTTATAATTTTATTCTATAAAGATTCTTTTATTGAAAATTTTTCTTATTAGGGTTTATAAGAATTCGCGATGAGATACGAGTGTTTTCAAAGGTCTCCATAAATATTTTCCAACGTTTTTCTATCGGTACTCGATAGACGTTTACAATCGGTTTTGCGCATCATTCGTTCCCGGCGAACCATATGGGGAACGAGGACACACAAGCAAAACGCACCATTTTGTAGCATTTTGTTTTTTTTTTCCACGATTCCTGGGGTCAACGTGAAATCGGCGGTTTGATAAACGGAAAGTTACCATCGTAACACGCTGGACATGGAACTTCCTTTTCCGACCATAGCCGAACGATTTGCTATATTCGAAACGTGCTCGAAACCACGTTCACTTTTTGGTTCACCATTTGCGGTTCCCTTTATCTTCCATTGCCAGCCCGAAATTGACTCATCGAAATTGAATCTCTTTTTTGTTCTTTATTTAGCAAGTATATTTTTTACCTGGTGTTTGCTACGTTCCCCTGTTACGATTTCGAAGCAAAACTTTTTGAAACGTTTCTTTCAAATCGGCCGGTTGGTTTTGAAGGATTTTAAGAAAAATATTGCTAGCTGACAATAGAATTTCCGAGTGCAAGAATGGTAAGAAAAGTTTGAGGAAAATTGGAAGCTCATAGCTCCGGAAACTGTTTCTTCGTGAATTATCGAGCAGGAAGGATTAAACGTCCGAGAAGAGTAAATTTATCGACGCAGCCCGCGAAGAATAACTTGAACGAGTTCTCTTGATTCACTCTCATTTCTCTGGTCCGTTGATGCGAATTTATCGCGTTACACGCCTCACAGCTTTTACTAGCCTCTGGCTACAAATTTTCCAAAAAGAATTCCCTCCCTTCGTACCTTTTACCGGCGTAAACGGATTGAAACTACTATCCATTAATCTGATAATCCGATAACCGTTCTATCGGAGGATTTTACCATTAACACTTCGCGTATAAAATATAAATTAACACCTAATTGATAGACGACTATTTTATTGGAATTTGAATATAACGAGTGTTAAGGATATTTTCTTCTTTTTTCGTTAAGAATGTATAAAAAAAAGATTTGCGGGAAATTCGGTTGGACGCGCTTTCTCGCGGATTATCGCGAGATCGAAGGCCGCCTTTGAATAGGA